ACAGCCTTGGGAATGCACATTAACTGATACTTATTTTCTCCTCCCATACCGCGGACGAGGTTTGTAAAACTGCAATAACCCTGATCCTTCCCCTCTTTTTAAAACCATATAATCACAATTAATCAATGTTTTAATTCTACGCTGGATGCTCACCGGCCAAGGCAGCTGTGGTTGCCTGTTACAACATATCCCTCTTTAATTACAGGGGAGGGGGGGGGGGGTGCGATGCAAACCTGGCCAGTTGGGAAGTGTTTCACTCTTTCACTTCGCCTTTCGCCGAGCGGGAGTCTGTCACCATGGAGACGAGAAGTCCTGCCGCCCTGAATGGCCACGTTTATACCAAAACATCACTTGAGCGAGTGTTTCCGTCGCCTGTGTGCCTTTTTTTTTAATCTTGAGCCTCAGGGTGAGTGAGGAGGACTAGTGAGTCGACCTCCCTGGGAAAAAAAGAGGCTTTTCTTTGTGGCTGTTTACAGTCGCCGTTGTTTTCATCCATCTTCTCACACATGCAGTGGGAATGCTCTGGAGTAAGTTCAGTCAGACACATTATAGATTAAGTTTTATTATTTTCACATTATTTTTGATTGTTTCAATTGTTTCACTGTTTTCAACCTCTATGCAAAATATCAGAATAAGTATTCAATGATGAATGACTGCTGGCATTTGTTGCTTTGGTACTAATTTTACTGTGCCACTAATTGCTGAGGGACTACTTTTTATTCTGCAGTAATGGTTTATTAGACTGGCAGCATGGAATTCATCTCACCCCAAACACGATAAATACCCATTAAAGCTGGCGGTTGACTGACCAAACTTGGTGTTTGAGTGTGATAGAGAGCGTGTCTGTGTGTGTGTGTGTGTGTGTGTGTGTGTGGCCCCTCGTGGTTTAAAGGAAAGGCTGTAAACAGTGAACCAAACTGACGGGATTCCTCCAGTGTGATTATCATATGAATAAGTATCAACACACAGCCTCACTTTGATTGGTCCAAATAAGGTCCTTTCCCACAGTGCCACTGCCTCAGAACCCAATTGTTGTCCTGTCACTGCCATCATTGGTGCCTCCACTCTGCATTTGTGTGTGTGTGTGTGTGTGTGTGTGTGTGTGTGTGTGTGTGTGTGTGTGTGTGTGTGTGTGTGTGTGTGTGTGTGTGTGTGTGTGTGTGTGTGCGGGGTCTGTTTTGTCCATCACGGCTGAGACATTCTTCTCTGAGATGAGAAAGGCAGAGCTTCTCCGCCTCATTGCTGGTAATTTACTTAGTCTGGGATGAGTTGTGGGTGTACAGGCCATACTTTAAATGCATTTATTGTCATTGGGTGACATATGACAGACAAGCAAAACTTTCTTCTAGAGAAGTTTCAATGTCTGCAGGTTGATGTAATGCAGGGATCCGGCACTGCAGGTATTCGGATATTCATAACTGGGCAGGATTAAACAATAAGAAAGTTAAATGCAAATGCTGGAGAATTTGTTAGACAAAGCGTTGGTTTAGCCCTGCTTGGTCACTGGCGACTCGATTATGTGACATCTGGCTTTATGATTTCACACATGCAGCAATCCAGTCCATCACATCCCCCCTTTGCTGCTAATTCAAACCACATTAAGTCTTCCCGTTGCACAGACTCTCTAAATGAAACATCATTTTAGCTCGGTATGGTCAAGTTGAGTTAGCTGACCACAAACGACGTGACCGGTCAGAACCTGAGAACCATTATTTCCCCCCTCCTACCCAGATGTGGTGACTCGGCGGGTTTCACGGCTGTCTTGTTCCACGATATCAACCATGCAGCTATAGAGAAGAGGAATTAGGTGTAAACGGTGTCCACAGGTAGCTGATATACTATCGTAAGACACCTATGAATAGCCTCCTCCTCACCCGATACCTGCCATCGAAGTACCCTCGAGGAGACCAACACTGTCCTTTTCTCTGGGAAATGCCGTAAAAACAGCCCTTGCAGTAGACTCGTATTATGTTTAACCATTACAACTGCTGTCACAGCTGGAACATTGAAAAAGGGAGAGGTGTAAAAACAAGTTATGAAAGACGTCCCCCAAGGGTCCTTTTTCTTTTTTTCAAACCACACCCCTGCCGCCTAGCTTCCACTGATCAAACGTATCCAGACGTGACAATAAAACCCGTAATAGCTTCTTTACATTAACGTCAACATTCTGGTTTGCTTGAAAAGGGTACGCGGTGTTTTTAATCGTATCGGTTGGCTTGGAAAGTGTGATGTTGAAGTGAAAGAAAGTTGTCTGTATAAATTGACTCCAGAGTGCCAGATATTTGAGGCGGTATAGAGGTGAAACCGAGCGTAGATGAAGCCTCCAGCTCTTCTCTCAGAAACTTGTGTGGAGCGTTATTTGTTGAGTGATGTGGCGATGAGGTCGGCATGTCGGCACAGGCGAACGGATCTACGTAAGATCTGTTTACGTAAGTAACATTAATCCTTAATCATGTTAATAAGTTGCTTTGTTTTACTCTCCTGATATCAACTGCTCACATTGTAACGTCTTTCAGGTATATAAAGAAAAAATCCCAGCTGTTAAGGTCACTGCGATGACCCTTGGATTTTGGAAAAATCGTCTGAGATCTACAGCGAAATGAAGATACGTTGAGGGTCTCAACTCGATATGGACCCTTTGACCTCCCTCTGAAACCTTTTTTCATTTAAGCTCCTGCTAAAGCCTCCTCATCTTCCTTGATTTTTCTTTTAGACACAGACATTCAACTTTGAAATCCCACTTCAAAAAAAGTTTCCTCCTCTTGCTGCTTTTATGTCTCTTGAAACATCTTTCACTCTTTTTGTTTCTGAAGTGGGACATTAATACATGAGAAGATTGACGCTTTAATGAATGCACTCTTCTACAAAGGCCACATTCTATATCTCTACTATTATTCAGCCACGTGTCATTGCTTTATGAAAAGTCGTGCTGTCCATCATCTGCCAGATATGGCGCGAGGCAGACAGACGTTTCTCGTCTTAATCAAAATTTTTGTAAAATATGCCACGTATGACCTCATAGTTTTTGTCGGACACTTGGCTTCCCATCGTGCTACCATCATATGACCCTTTTCCATGCTGCTATTTTCCTCCTCTCTTTCCTTCCATCTGCTGACTCAATTGGAGCTTCTGTTAAAGATTACGTGGAACCCAGGCGACAAAACGCATTTTGTCTTAAGGTCATGGGTCTGCGCAACGGAATTGAGAACGTAGCGGCGGTGCCAGCCCGTCTGAAAAAGGTGTCTTTCTGGGACGGAGATGAACCGTTTCGACGCACTTGAGGCCACGACTTGTGTGGTCTGCCCTTTGCCTTCTGTTAGGAAAGACAGTCGTGGCGAGGGAGGAAAAGCCAGACAGGACGAAACCTGCTCCTCTCATATGTGATTCTCTTCCAGAGGGAAGCAGAGCATATGAACAAGTCTTTCCTCCGACCGGAAACTAACCCGGTAATTGCTGTATCAAAATATAGTTGAATAAACATGACATGGATGTGATCAAGCTTCTAAAAGGGTGCAAATTAAGGTCTAGATTTACAAAGGATTTAAATGCTGATCTTAAGTCTTAATCCAAGTATCATTATTTCCATTGAAAGCTAATTTAATGGGGAATTAAGACAAGGAAGCTGATGGAGGCGGCGACTTTCTCGCCAATGACTCATGCCTGCTCAGACATTGTCTAATGCAGATGTTAAACCTTCTTGCAACAGCACAGTTTATCAAACCACTCAACAACCCCAACCTCTTCCCGACATGATGATAAGAGAGGTCTGGACCATATCCAACCCTTTCCCCAATTACAGCTTTGGCATGTCCAATCTCGCAAGCACACTGTCTAGATCTAGAGCAACTTCCCTCATTAGAGAGTGAAAATAGTCAGTCGTAAGAAGGTAGCAAATTATTCCCATCAATTCCATATGTGTTGCTGCTGAACATCATGGTTTATAACACAGGCCAACTTCCTCATTGACTTTGACGTCCTCGCTAGTTTCATATGTCGCAACCAGCAAACTAGTCACATTTGTATCGTATTACTTGTCTGGTTCAAATTTGGGCTTTTTAATGGACAACTGATTCCCATGGAATTCATTGTAGAAGTGCTCCTCTCTAGGTGAAAAATAAAAGCTTTTACAGTTCCCTGACATTTCATTCAGAGACAGTAACATTTGATTTGTTCCAAATCACAGGTTGGTGGCATAATACCTGCAACACCAATGACATTCCTCATGGCATGTTAGCATTGACACTTTGAGTCTGTTAGCATGCTGCCTCGCGGGGCCGCCAGCACAACTGTGAACTCACAATCTTTAGTCACACCAAATCAGTGGACTTTCATTCCTCCAAAGGTTGATTGACTCTTGGCCTCGTATCAATTTCTTTGCATTGCCTGCAGTCCCCGACGCTGCAGCCCAAATGCACAGAACAAATGGGAGGACTTGCGCCGTTCCCACGATGCCAGACTTGTAGTTAGCCTTTCTCTTTTTTTCTTAACAAATTACTCTAACCTCAACCATATGGTAGTTGCCATGTGAACTCAATATCAAAGTTCTTTTCCCGATAAAGGCCTGCAAAAAAGAACCACGAGGAGCAAACATGTGAGCCTTAAACCTCCCACATAATCCCCACAATGCCTCCTCTCCTGTTGTGGTCCAGCACAATCCAAAAAGACCAGATAGTGCAAACAGACCTAACCAAGACGTTGCCAATTTGAAAAAGATTAGACAGAAGTTTGTGTGTGTGTGTGTGTGTGTGTTTGTTTGTCTTTCCCTCGGGTGGTCAGTCGAAGCAGAATGCGGATGAATGACAGGGAGAGCGTGAACGGGGAAGAAAGAGAGACTGTGTGCAGCGTCCTCCGCTGATCTCCACGCAGGACGTATCATTACCAGATGTCACAGAATCACTGCTGCTTATTGCTTTAAACTCCCCGACTCTCTCTCTCTCTCTCTCTCTCTCTTTCTCTCTCTCTGTTTTTTTTCTTCCTTTCCCTTCTCCATTTCCAGCTGTTTTCGGAGCAGGCGGCGAGAACGAGGGGGGAAGTTCTCCACCAATTGTTTCGGTCCTGAGAGGAGCGCGGCGCTCGGACCCTCCCTCCTTCTATCTCTCTCCCCTCTCCGTCCTCCGTCTCTCGTCCTCCCTCCCTCTCTCTCCTCCCCTTGTTGTGACAGAGCACACCTGCTTGATCTTGGCTGCACGCGTTCTGAGTCTAATTACCCCCGTAGGCCCTCGCTGCAACTTCAGTCTCACCCCCCCCTCCCACCCCCCAACTCGACTGGATTTTGGGAGGCAAGCTCATCTCGCACAGCTTTACTCTCTCCGCCTTGCTTCTCCTGAGAACAGGTAGGTCAATCCTTTACTGCGACAGTTTGGGTGAAGTTCAGTTGGGATTCACGAGTTTCAACGTGGACTCGTCTCTAAAGCGAGAAGTAGTCTCACGGGAGCGATGTGGTTTTTGTTTTGTATGGTAACTTTTCTTCCACTTCAAAATCTACGATTCCTGATTTTGAAAGTTTCATTATTTGCTGATGATGTTATTGTATAAAGACAGGATCACTGCATGCGATTCTTTTGTTTTTTTGCAGTTACATTTGTCAAACTGCATTTGCGTATATTCCGGATGTTGCCAGGTCTTGTTCCCACAGCTCGCTTGGCTTCACGATGAGCGACCTTTAATCAGTTCCAGTCCAATGGGCGCACAGCTCGGTGAAAAGAGCGGCGGCCAGGGAAGGGGGTGTGGTGGCGCGGGTTGATGCCGGTTCCTCACTCCTCTGCCAAATAGACCTTATTCTCCGGGCCCACCGTCAATCTTCAAAGTTCCCTCCGCTGCCGCCGCCGTCTTTCATGCGATGTGCTCAGCGCTCCGATTGGACACAACCAGCTTGACGTTTTTGTGATTTGTCCCTTTTTTTGACACTTGTCCGTTGGTTGTTTAGATGAAACCCACATGGAAGTGCACTCCTCAAAATAGTTTTGTGAGTGTTCTTTTCATACGTGCCTTGCTTACGTAAAGTCAAGGGTTTGAGTGAGGGGAAGGGGCTTACGTCAGTGGAAAATGCTTTAGTGTCTGTTAATTTCTCCATTACCAGTCGACTAACACAGAAATGGAAAAGGGGGGAAAAAGCTGAAACAGCAACCTGGTTTCTTTCTGCTGATTCAGCCCATGTTGCTTGTCAAGATTCTGACTTGGTGAAGTCGTTTCTGCTTCCTTTCACACTTGAGCAGTTCAGTTAGAGAACGCAATCAGACCGTTTCAACCCCAATCTCTTCTCTGTCTGGCCCCTGTTTCATCTCGATGTGAATCTCCTCCGCCCACCGCGGCGTCAGCTGCTGAGTTTTCACAGGAGCAAGACGGGACCCAAATTGCTAAGGGGGCAACTTAAAGTGAACGCCTTTGAAGAGGAGATGAAAAAAAGCACCGCCATTAATCCCGTAATGGTACAGCTTCCTCTATCAAAGAAAGGTCTGAAGGCTTCCCGGCAAGCCACAACACAACTCTCAGCTAACTCATTACATCCTTCATGCCAGCGGGGACAAAAACCTAATAAGGCTCAGCTGCACTGACTTGAGTAGACCGGAGTGGAGCTGGACAAGGGACGAAGTGAGACAAATAAAATGAGAATGAAAAGTGGGACTTTGAACAGAATGGTGGTGTAGTTTGTTTTGAGCTGTGCAGATGTGAGTGATTGGAACAGACCCAGTTCTGCACCCAGGGGCTGCTTTTTTTCTTTCCATCTGGTCTTCAACTCTCCAGGTCCAAAACTGCAAAAGAACAATGGAATTGAATCAGCCATGAACCCCCCCACACACACACACACCCGCCTCCCTTCCCACCCATTTCCTCATTGGAATACCATAAAGTTCCACATGTCAGTCTTTCTGGCCAAAGTTTTAAGAAAGAAATTACCATACACTGTGAGAGTGAGGCCGGGGAAGGAAGGAAAAGAGTACAAAAAGGGAGGAGGATGTGGAAAGAGAAGAAAGGGAGAGAAGATCGGGCGGTTTTTCCAAGGTTGTGCAGAGCAGACTGTTGATAATGGGACTGAGGTTGATGGCAGGCCGACAGCTCTTCTCATGGAACAGCTAAAATGTGGTTAAACCACTCGCTAGTTTTCTCATGCCATGGCTCCACAGTGTAGGCCGGCTTTAGAGACCCTAAAATGATCTGTCAATAACACATGTGGCTCTGACACTTGAATTGATTGTCGTGGTCAAAAGAGGGTCTTTGGCTTTCCTGAGACCAAAAAGCATAAACGGGAGCAGGGACGGCTATCACTAGTCTGATTGGGCCTAATTGTTTGTTGGACGAGCCTTTGCATATTTTCAGACACATGTTCTCGCTCACAAAATCACAAAAAAGATTTGTAGAGAATGATGACCAATCACCACTGCCAAAGAGAGCTCAGAAAATCCCCTATGTCTTTTTACACGCACCTCCTATCGATGGTGCGTTTTTGAGTACCTGCATGGAAGGGGGACTCACATTCATACGGTAATGGGTTAAAAGGCCCACACGTGTTTTAAGCCCTCCCGTGGCCGCGTAAATACCTTCCAGTGATTCATTACTGACAGACGCTCTGCAGAGGCAGACGCAGGCCTGTGGAGAGTTACATCGGTGGAGGAGGGGGACGGGGACGGGGACGGGGGGGGGGCACAGGGGTGGAAGACGGGACGCAGCGGTTAGTCGGCTTATATTTTCTTACTCTGCAGCTTGGTTTCATTTGGTTAAAACCCCAACGCCGCGGTGCTGAACACCGTTTGTGACGTGGTAATCCGTCGGTGGCATCTCGTTGACTTTCAATGAAAGGCGCCGACAAAGGGGAGAAAGGCGAGCTCCGCTTCCAGTCTGGGAATCATTAGCAAAGCCGAGGCCGGACTTGGGGGAGACGGGAGGGAGGGATGAGACACAAGAGGGACACGAGTGAATTGACGAGGGTGCCGCTGACACAGGAAATGCCAAACTGCCTGTTTTGTTTGATTGGTCGCAGGTGTCAGAAACCCGAGAAGAAGATAGAGGCGGATTGTTTATCGCACGTCCTTCTCTGGGATGTGGTCCAATCTTTGGAAAGTGCAGGCTCAACTTACACCTCCTTGTGCTTTTTAATTGTTTCATACATCAATTCTATACCCAGCATAGTTCAATGGGGAGTGCTTCAACAGGCATCTGCTTTCCATTCAAAGCCTCATTGGAAGGCTTTGGACCATCACTTCAGTTGGGTTTGTTTTCCTGGTTCACAAATGAAAGTCCTTTTTAAAAGTCCATTACTAGGAAGCAAGCCTGGGACAATTCCTGCCACATTTGCATTGATTAGTGTCCGGTTCTTATGAATAAAGCCGGTTCCATCCTCTAGTAAGTTGGCATGCAGCCATATCGCCATGTGATGACGGTCAGTGAATCACAATCAGAGACAACACATCTGTCACGCTTTTAAGCTGCAGGGCCCCAGATCACACGTTTTCTAACATCAAGGTTTGACCTCCATCTTGTTTAGTAAAAGAGCAAATGATAAGGGATTTTACTCCCATAACAGAAATCTTCTTTGAGGGGATATAGGGATGCAGAGATTGCACGGGGAAGTCATGTTTCGGCATGCTCTGTGGGCCGCCCTCCGGGTTTAGCATGCACACAGACACACAGAGTGTGTTTGAGGATCCTGTGTTGTGTGTTCAGTATGTTATTTAGGTGTGTGTGTTTATATAGAAGTGGGTCGTCCTGCAGGTGGACACTGAAAGAAGCCTGAGGCACGGCAGGTTTCCTCATGCAAACAGCAGCCTTGAATTTCCACTTTCTCACGAGTCCTTGTTCCGTGGTTTGAATGTAGAATCGACTGCTCATTAATTCACCACTTTAATGTTAACACATTACATTCCTACATTATACAGCCCTCCATCTCAAAATCCCCTAACTCAATATTGATACCACTTGATACCAGAAATTATTACGCCACTTTGGTCCCAAACATCCCTCCTTCAGGATCTCTTCTTCCAGGAACTGGTTTCAAAATCCTTCAAAAACTCCTGTGACTAATCATGACTCACAAAGTAGCGGTAACCTTTTTCTTTGTAATGCTGCAGCCAGTAAATGCCCACAGAGCTTATTTTGAGGTCATTCCCTCTTCTTCTTGCCTATCTGGCTCACAATCAAATCTGCTGTAGCTTTAATGGACAAAGGATTGACGGATTGATGGCAGAACCCACGGAGTGACATCAAAATCTCCTGCACCAATGCACATGTGCATGTAAACCGGCTCTTGTGCTTGTGGCTATGGGTCAAAGAAGGGAGATACGGTTCAGTAATCGGCGGTGAAACCACCTTATTTTGTGTACATTGCTGCTCCTTTAAGCAGAGCTGGCGCACTGGCTTGAAAAGAATTCTGAATGTTACAGCCTGCAAGATGTATTGGATGTGAGAAGTTCAAAACACTATTACCTCCGATGAAAAATTACTTTTAAATACTTTTACAAACCAAAGACAAACCAATCTGGCATCCACACCGGATGAAACAAACCATCAAAGGCCTCCACAAGCTCTTTTAACCCCAAAGTACTTTATATCTCTAAGTGAAAATACACCGCTGCTGCCAAGTCTGCAGACATGTTTTTTGTGGATCGAGCTTTCTTCTGTGCTTAGATAAGAAAGCCTGACAGCCAAGATTACTCCGTCCGAGTGGAACAACGTGTACCCTGGACCGACTGTGTGTTCCGACCCGAGCTCTTTGTTTCAACTCCTCCCGCTGTACTACGTACTCCAGGTTTCCAAGAGAGACAAAACGGCCAAAGTTCTGCATGGAAACCTGCAAGGCCACAACAAACATCTTGTCCCTCACTTCCAAGCCCTAATTGCTAACTTATGAAATCACCCTTTTGCAAACTTTTTTTTTTCCTTGCTTCGTAGCAGAACAAGAGCGAAAAAACGAAACAGGCGGAGGCAGCGCTATCCCATCCAACACAAATCTTCTTTGAATGGAATTGATTTCAATGTTGGACATACTCCATGCGAGCACTGTAACCACTGGACTGAAGATGTACAGTGTGTCCACGTGCCGACTGTAACTACTGCTCGTGTTGAGAGTCCCTCTGAGCCCCGATCTGGTGACCAGGCGTGACCCTAACCAAGAACTTCCCTACAACGTCAATGTATCTTTTTCTGCTGCTTTCTTTCTCATTCTCAAAGACACGCGGTTGGTTGAAAGGCTTAACCCTGCAAATCTATCTTTTACTTGTTCAGAAAGTACAACCCAAGTTGCACATACAGCACAGCTCTTGCTGAAATACTCTTAAAGCTATACGAACTGTACTAAACACAAGCTAGCACACTTAAAATCATGCAAATATACACTGGTATAACAAAGTAAACAAAGATACAGCACATGAGCATCCTTCACATGCAAACAGGCCATAAAAACCAGCCCACAGTCACTTTCCGCCCCGGCCTACTGATGGTTTTGGGTCAGTTTCATCATCCTGGTCATGATGGTTCGGGTCAAGGTCCGTTGCGGACCAGCTACTGCCAAATCATTTGTTAGCAGCTGCGGCTCAAATCTGCCCTTCAATTATTGTGGCACCAGGAGAGAAGCGGCAGCTTTTGGCTCCGCGCATGACAAGCAGATTGCTGGGTCTCTGAGACTGTGTGTCGTTTGTAAAAGGTCGTGCAGTTTAATGTATCTTCACTCCGTTTGAGTTCCAGAGAGAGTGCGGATGTGTCAACTGGTTTGTGGTCGTGCTTAGAAATAGAAGACAAAAAAAAGGAAGCAGGATACTTCCTGGGACCCACTAGTACGGCAGATGCTCGCTATGGAAAAGGGCTTAAATAGTTAATGTGATTTATTCCTTTTAAAACAGATGATGTAGCACCTGTGTATTACTGTAAAGGCTAAATGCAGATGTTGATTTTGTTGAATTAAACAAATTGATGAATTCCTCTTTCAAACCCTCCTCTCACCTTTCACCTTCTGTCTAGAACCGACCACTTGAAGAGCTTCTTTGACCAACCCTCCGTCTAGTGTTACACCCAAGCGTTTACCCTTCTGCTCCTCCACCTCTCACCTTTTACCCTTTTGCTTCTTTTCTCCTTCGACTCTATCGTTCACTGCGTCCCTCTCTCTTCCCAGTGGAAATCAAACGGTCCCCCTTTCACAGTGAGCGTGAAACAAACCCAGCGCGGTCGTTTGCAAACTAATCATAGACAGACTGTTTTGAAAAGTGTATCCGGCCAAACCTTTGAACCGTGATCTCTCGTCCTCCAGGCTCCCTGCTAGCAGCACCATGAGGTCAGCCTGTCTCTCTCTGCTCCTGGTCACCGCCTGTTGGGCGCTGCCCTTCCGCCAGTCGGGTTTCCTGGACTTCATGATGGAGGACGAGGCGGGATCAGGTGTGCCCGAAACACCCGTTCCCGACATCAATTCTGGACCCAGGTGCCCCTTCAGGTGCCAGTGCCACCTGCGAGTCATCCAGTGCTCTGACCTCGGTGAGACAAAGTTTCCTAGAGCTTCTCACACGCACATCACGCTGTGCACTTCTACTGACGGGCTTATGATCTTTTTCTTGGTGTCCAGTGATAATAATCATCATCATCATCATCATCATCATCATCACTCACTCACAGGAAAGTTAATAATATCGCAAATGCCATCATTCTGATCGCGGTTTGATCCCCGTTTGTACTGATACACGTGCAGCAAATGAATCAGTGTGAATTAACTGGACGAGATGAGGTCACAAGGCGTTTGCAGTCATTTGAATGTACTGTTTTTTAGAGTGGAAAAAGGCCCTGAGTTTGCAATCCGTCTTCCCAAACCCACATTCAGGGTCATGTTACGTTATGTATTATTTCAATATCCTCCAGAGAACATGTTGACACGTTAAATGCTCACAGATGCTGAGAGGCTTATTTCACCTCCTTTAACAGTAACATTATTTGCGTTTTTCTGGCCAAATTGTTTTTGAAACACTGTAGGCGGAGACAAAAAAGTCCGATTTTGCCCTGAAAAGTTGTAAGTTTGTGAATTTTACTCATCAAGGTTTACAGACTACAATCCAGCACAGTCACAACAATTTACTTTATTGTCATCTTGTTTGGGGTGAGTCACAGAGACCCTGTCATAGAAAAGTCCCTGACCTCATTTATTCCTGTGTGTTACAAAAAAGTGCTTTGCTAAGCAGTCGGGTTTGAAGTCGAGTTTTTGGCCCCGCTTTTATTTGGAAAGGCTCGAGCTTCGAGGAGGCAGATGAAAGAGAAGAGGGAGCGACGCAGATGGGCAGGATGAAAAAAAAAGAAATACGGAGGACACACATAATGAAACGAAGCTCGACCGTCAATGTGGCAGAAAGTTGGAGAGGGTTTCGTTTCGAGAAAACACCGGTTCCATCACGTCAGTCCCCCAGCCGGTGCTCCGGGCGGACATGGCTCCATGACGCAATTCTCAACTCCTGCGTCAGCGCCGTTGGCCCCTCTGCCTCCATCTGTTCCCCAGACCTGCTGGCCGGCCAGCAAACGCACACAGACTTGCGTGGACACACACCAGATTTGATTTCATACGCGTATTGTTAGGCACACACACTAGGGCCCAAAGCACCGCTGGTACGTCGTGGATGCGCACTTTCCTTTATGAGTTTACAGCTCAAACGTTTAGTGGAGAAAATGGGTTCAAATAAATTGTGGTTATCTTGAGTGTCACAACTGGATATCGTTTTTAACGGCACAATCAGCAGATCTCCTAATTAAAGACAAACCGTGTGGTTGTGTAAGATGTGCAAGTCCAAACTTACTCATATCCCATGAGTCTCTGAAAAACGCGTGTTTCGTAAGTTACATCACTGCCATTAAGTTTTTATTGTTCATTCCCACGACAACATCTTAAGAGTGAGATACTGACATGTAGCTCATATTATTTTGGTCATAGTACTGATTTTGCGTTATTTATTTAGTTGTATACCAAAAGATGACTCTTTGTACAAAGAAAATGAAGAAGAATGTATTTTAATGCATAATTACCGTTAAACTTCTCTGTGATGCTACACAAACTAAAAGACCCATTTTGCTGCAGAAGCTTTGAGAAAAGCGGCCGTAGCTGGAAGGGATGTTTGGGTGAGCTGTAAAGAATCTGTCACAAGCTTTTAGGACAAAATGTGTCAGAGATGGAGATGCAGAACGTAAGCTTCTTTGTTAAACAGTTTATTCTACGCCTCTTCCTCTGAAATGTAAACTACCCGTAATGAATCTCGGTGTATTTTTTGGGTCTCCACGGATCCCAGGTGTCTTTGCTCTACGGCTCCACCAAACGCGTTTCTGTGTCACATTAACCTTTGACGTGCTGCGATAAAGTCCAAGCAAAACGACCTGAGCTCAGTGTCCAGGTATGCAGTTGCTTACACACCCCAAAGGAAATTTGTTTTGAGGTCCACTTCCACCATGTGTGCCTCCGAGCACTTATTTGGTTCCTTTGGAATGTCACTGTAAAAACCTCGTCCCGCTCCAGACTTTATGGGGCGTGCAACTTTGAACAAAGCGTTCTTTCTTATTTCACAGTGTTGCTGCTACTCCCTTCTGTTCACCCGGGTTGAACCGTTCTTTGGAGCGTAAAGCCCTGGCGAGCTTGTTTCTTCTGTGCTTAATGGATAAATACATATTCCGCGCGTAGAAGTGTCCCAGTGTAAAGTGGTTTACAAGACTATAGGTCCTCAGTATGTGGTTGGAAACATGTTGGTCCACTTCCTATCGAGGTTAGGGTGTGGTTAACCTCTCTTCACAGGAACCGTGGCTCTCACCACCTCACCTCGAGCTTAGCTTCCTAACACCCATCCTTCTGATGGATTTATTGCGTTTTCATACTGACCCTGCGTGTCTCAAACATTCTCCATCAGGTCTCACGACGATTCCAGAGGACATCCCAGACGACACCACACTGCTGGACCTGCAGAACAACAAGATCACTGAGATCAAGGAGAATGACTTCAAGAACCTCAAAGGACTTCATGTAAGAAACCTTTCACATCCATCTGCAGGCCTTCACGTCAAGTACTTCTAAGGCCAAGTGACGAACTGCAACCCCTCCAAAATGAACCTCTGTGATCTCCATGGAGGAACATCTTGTTTTTAAGCTGTTTGTGATGGATTTGGTTGTTATTCTTGGCCTTTTGCCCATTCATTTCTTAATAACACAGCACACAGAGTTTGTGTGCTGTTTTTCTGAAATGTCAACAACCTCAGAGCTGCTCATTCTTAAAACATTGACTCCATTTCGTCTCCCATCCCCAAACTTTCCCCAACATCCCCTATATATCCTCCACTCCCCCACTCACCGGGTGCATGGAAACTATTCACCCGAGGGCTGTGCACCCTCGTACTCCTGCAGCCTTCTTGCTTGCAATAAATACCTCTCTCTGAAGGCCAGAGATGTTTCCACTATAATGTAACTGCCCTCTCGAGGGAGCGGACTGCATACCTCACGTTGCCTCATGTCTGCTTTACATGGGAGTGGAACAACAGGAGTGAGATCCCTTGGAAAATGCGTCGGGGGAAAAACTCCCGAGTGGATTTGAGCTTGGCCCACCGTCATGACAACCCGGTCGAAACAGCTGCTGAGCTAAAGAATATCCTGTTTGTGTAGAGTATAAAGTTTGATTTAACCCATGGGGCAATCGTAACAGGAAACGTTTCTCCCAGGTGTAAAGGTCAAATTTCGCAATAGAACTTTTAATTTAAATAACAAATGCCGGACTGTTTTTACTTCCTAAAGGAGTTACACCATGCAACAAGAATGAAAGAAAATAATACTGAGAAGTACAGTCTCTCATCGCATGTGACATTCTTCCTCGTAGGCCCTGATCCTGGTGAACAACAAGATCACCATCATCCACGCCAAGGCCCTCAGCCCTCTGACCAAGCTGCAGCGTCTCTACCTGTCCAAGAACATGCTGAAGGAAATGCCCGCCAACATGCCCAAGAGCCTGCAAGAGCTGCGCATCCACGAGAATGACATCACCAAGATCAAAAAGACGTCGTTCCAGGGCCTGGCTAACATCATCGTCATGGGTACGACAGGAAAATGGTCTCCTTCTTTGTTTCCAAAACGGTTACATTTATATGAACAGCTTGGAGAGGTTCCTGGTTTATTTTACAATAGTGTAGTTCACATTGTGGCAGGGAGTCAGTCTTCAAGTGGATACTGGTAAATTTGGAGATGTCATTCACATGCAGGATTACATCCCATAGGTTTTTGCTTGTTGTCCTTCATCCTCTATCTGCTCCACTCTGACTCCTCCTCTCTAACTTCCTGCCGTTGCTCAACTGAAGCTTACAGTGTGGATTCAATCACTATAAATTGCAATAAAATGAGATTTTTGACCCAAAAGGGAATCTGGCTCGGTTGAAAGGCTGCTTTGCAAAAACAAGACATTCTCTTGCACTCACTTCACTTTGTTTACTCATTCGTGACTCATCTCCACGTTCCTGCAACGTCCCGGGAGGGGAATTAACTTCACAGATGTGATCTGTTACGGCTGTTTTCCCGTCTTTTCTTTGTCTGCGCTCACAATTGTTTGTTTGTTCCTTGATTTTCATTGTCAGAGCTTGGGTCCAACCCCCTGAGGAGCGCAGGAATCGAGGCTAGTGCCTTTTCCGACCTGAAGAGGGTCTCCTACATTCGCATCGCCGACACAAACATCACAGAGATCCCCAAAGGTAACGCACTGACATCCACGAGTGTTCTGACTTAACCCAAGTTTTATCAAGTCAATGGTGGTAATCTTTGACTTGTGGGTCGTCAGGTCTGCCAAGCTCTCTCTCTGAGCTCCACCTGGACGGAAACAAGATCTCCAAGGTGACGGCTGGAAGCCTCAAGGGCCTCAAGAACCTGGCCAAGTAATAAGAATTATGATTCTGCCTCCACTGTTACCCTTATTAACAATGTGAAATGCCATTTGCATTTAGGCTAAATGCTATTTGTACCAGACTATGGTTATTAACCATATTCCCATTTTTGTTCGGACTAATATTTATAATAATAATAATAATATTTCTTCTTCTGACGAGCTTTTTCTTGCTGTCTCCTGTTTTAATGCTCTGGTGCAGGTATTAGATTTGCTCTAGTAGTACTGTTAAAAGGCTTTTGTCATGAAATAAAACCACAGACCTAAGTGGTAGTTTTTTTTAGATAATCAAAATAACTAGTTTGCTCATTAAATGTGGATACACAGAGTTTATAAGATTTCTGCTCCGATTGTGCCAAAGATGTCGTACCAAAGAACAAAAGGGGCTTTGAAGCATCGGTAGAAGAGTTAGAGGTGGTGGTTTTCATTTTCCATTTGCTCATTGTTTAGAAATGGCAATGCTATATTTTTCTCTACTCAAGCAATCTGGGCTTTTGTGATCCTTGTGCTGCTGCACGTTTGCGCATTTCAGTGTCTCATCTACTTTTTCCTTCTACATTTGTCCTGCAGACTGGGTCTGAGCTACAATGAGATCAGCTCCGTGGAAAACGGCACTCTGGCCAACGTCCCCCACATGCGAGAGCTGCACCTCGACAACAACGCCCTGATCAGTGTTCCTGCTGGCCTGTCCGACCACAAGTACATCCAGGTACGTGCAGACCGCTTTGACAACCATTAGCTTCAGAAGTAACTTTACTCCTCGGCGCCATCGATTCAGGTCTGCATCCCAGAGGAATTGTCATTGCAACCATTTAGTTCCAGTAAATGACCTCTAAGTGTTGGTTACTGGGTGTTTCTCATTTACCCACGGTGTGATCACACACGGGTCCTTTTCTCTGATCCAAACCATACTGGAAAATTTGACTTTGTTGCATTTTTGCATTTGGTTTGTAAGGTTCACACTGTCCGATGACAAGTCAAGCTAGGCTTACACAACAAAAAGGCACATGGTTTCATTTAGTTTGTTTATTGAGTAGTGTTGGTAGTCTGTCGTACTATAATGTTACTGCTTTTGGCAGTAGGGGGGATTGTAAACAGATCTGATTCAAGGCCTTTAACTGTAGTTTGGCCTCCGTTTGCTTCTTCATTTCCTTACTGGTCTCAAGGCTACGCCGTTGCTTCATCTTTCACATCGCTATAAAACCTTTTTGCGTAATTGTTTTGTGTGTTGCCGTCTTATATTCACTCCTAATGAACTGCATGGTTCTTTTGTGAGCAGCCACACTTCAAATGCATTGTGCTCAGCAACAATAGCAAAGCAAACTATGGGAAGAAAAGAGTTTGTGCAAATAGCTTTGAACAAGCCAGTTTGCACAGAAATTTTCAGTGAAATCTATAATAAAAAAACATTAACATTATTGAATAACGTCATCACGACATGGGCACGTTAATGCCATTTTACTTAACATTGGATTTTTCTCCATGTAAATAGTTTTTTGGACAAAAAGGCTTTGGAATCTGTAGTTAGCATTATATCATCTATCTCAAAGTGTATGAGGCAGTTCCTTCCTTTTGCTTTTTTTTCCAGTAACCTCCTCAAACCCCTCGGTGATGCAACATGCTTAGAACGAAATGCTCAGCTGCATGCTTCTCATGTTCACACATCTGTCTTGCTGGTTTTCAAAATGTCAGAAGTCTACATTTCAGTCAAGCCTTTGTTATTTATTAGGTGACTTATGATCTTTATCTACTTTATTTGGGAAAACCTAAAATCATTGCCATGCCACTTCTTGACCAAAGGTTGTCATCATTCAAATCCCTCCTCTAGGTGGTCTACCTCCACGCCAACAAGATTGCCGCCGTGGGAACCGAGGACTTCTGCCCCCCTGGCCTCAACCAGAAGAAGGCCATGTACTCCGGCATCAGCCTGTTCAGCAACCCGGTGCCCTACTGGGAAATTCCGCCCATCACCTTCCGCTGCGTCTTCGACCGCTCCGCCATCCAGCTCGGCAACTACCGGAAGAAGTAGAGCGCGCTGCGCACCTGGGCAAGGAAGTGTGATTGTGTGTGTGTGTGTCTGTGTGTGTGTGTGTGTGTGTGTTTGGAAAATGAGTGTGTGCAAGATTTCCAATTGTGCGTGTTTGACCACAGAACCCCGCGACACTGACCCCCGAGCAACAGCACGTCATCGCAAAACGCTGGACATGGACCTCAAAACGCAGCATATCAATTTCATTATTTTGCTTCATGGTTGGATCAGCAGCAGCAGCAGCAGCAGTAGAAGTAGTCCACACGGCTTCCGTCCTGTCACGTGACAGATATGTTGTCACATACGTGCTGCATCATTTGTATTCAAATTCAGAGATGAATCCTGACCAAAAAGATTTGAAAGCTCACACAGTGGGAAATATTAATCACACTTTGACTACAGCCATTGTTTGAATTGTAAGACCGCTGGCCTGTAGAGCAGGCAGCGAGGGGATAACTTGTGTTTGTGTACAATACCTTTTAACAACCGGTATACTAGAATGTACTAGATATTACCTGTGTACTAGGAATAGCATTCAGTGTGCAACATTACCACACTGCACTCTTTGAAACAACTCAGTTTCTATTTGTATTGTACTCAATTCAAGTAGAGATAAAAAAAAAAGCAACCGTGACTTCTATCACATCGTGATTTCTTGTGTGTTCTGGGCTTAGTTCTGTTTGTTTGTTTTTTACACTTAATCGCATTTCCTCTCATGGTTCTTTCCTAGTGTGTGTTGTTCCATTCAAAAAATAAAAGATTAAAATAGCTTATGAAATATGTAGAATAAACAGTATGTTTTAAACAGAAGCCATTTCCAAAGATGTATATGCATGCCTTTATTTTTTCCTCTCAACTTAAACTTGGAGCTTTCTGGAATTTGTATATTTTTCTCTCCATGTTTCTCGACCTTTTCATTCCTTTTGTTTTCAAGAGTCTACAAAATGTGGTGTACGTGGACCAGCATGCCCACTGCAACCACGTTGGTGTGAATGTTGTATGTATAGACGCTGTACATAAATGCTGTATAAAAACCTTGTTTGCTTAAAGGCACAAGCACTTACCATAGTTCAGACTTAATATATCAACAACAAAGGTCTTCCTCTTTTTTCCCCGCCAGGAGAAGGGGCTCCAGCTAAGGTGTCCTCAACAAAATAAAAATACTAATGTCAAAAGTAGCAGTTTTTGATGGATGTAATGACCAGAACCTGCATTAATTATCAATGATGTGAAGGGAGATTTATGCTCCCACTGGATGGCGCTGCAACAGCTTCAGCACAGATGAGACAAGGCGGCGGCATCCCGGCGAACAAGGTCAACGGGAGGCAAAGGTACGGTAAAGCAGGTGACACACCTGACCAATAAAAAAAATTTAAAACACTCATAAAAAAAAGCTTGTTTTAGGATTTTCAAAAGGAAGAAATGCACCTAAACCGCATTAAAGTGGATTTATTCCCACAAAAAAATAATTTCTGCTTTTTAGCTGATGACAAGAAAAATATACTCCATATAAATCTGTTTCAGCCTCATAGACACCTTTGTGATCTGTTTAACATTTTAATAACAAATAAATATATATACATATATTTATATTTATCGGTAAAAATTTTCTTTTCAATTGACGTAACCTGGGGGCATATAGAACCTGCTCAAAGTGCAACTCCTGCAATCTATTTGACATAATCCCTTTTTCTCTGCACGGTGAGTGGGGCCATATCCCAGTATCCACTGGCCAAGAATTGATGTGCATCACAGGATCTACTTTGTACACATATCCATATTTAATGTATCTATATTTACACAAATAGACGGACAACACATTCATTTTTGAGTCTCCGGTCCACCGTTTCTGTGGTCTGTGGGAGGAAACCCAATGCCCCGAGGAAATCAAATCGACACGAGGAGAACATGCAAATCCCCACATGGGCCGGCAGGTTCCATAATGCATTTTCCTGCTGTGGATGACAATGTGAATTACTGAGCCATCACACCAACACGTGTCAGGGGGGGAGGTGAAAAACAGCTGGACGCAGGAGCAGTTTTTTTTTAATGTGATTTATGATGGTACCACTCTCTTCAACCTCATGTTGAAGGGTTTTGTGGTCTGAGGAGAATTTCTGGCCTCTGCTACGAGTCTCTTCAAATCCTTCAGTAATTTAAAAGACCGTAACAGTAATATTTACGTTAAGGAAAACAGAAATTCTACACCATTGGTGGTTGAGCCTCTTCCCCGGCAAGCAGGTTGTATGGTGTCTGGAATTGTTGACCAATTTCTCATTTTGTTGCATTGTTTGAGGTCTTAGAAGTGAAAACCTGCCTACCCAAAAAGTAGACTATCAGAGAAAGAACATATTAAGAGTTATTATGGGCTCATAATCCTCTCCCTCTGATACGGCTCCGGCTCAGGACAGACTGAAAGGCGTCAGTGTTTGAGCGCTGGCTCTCCTCCCGCCACCGTAGAATCAGCGTTATATACCAACGCGAATGGACTTCAAGCTGTTGCCCCCATGCGGTCCACATTAGAACGGCACCTTATAGTCTCTCCCCCATGAAACACAGAGATGCCAGTGCGAGCTTTCCTTTACTGCGTCAAAGGTGTGAGAAGAAGTACTTTGGAGAAAAACAGTTGTGTGCAAATATGTTTCCATCCACTTAATTCTGTGCATATTTGCACATAATGTAAAGTCATTGATGAGTGGGTTTTCACTTGCACACGTGAGCGTAGTAGGTGAAGCGCCTTTCTTGCAGAGCTGAGCTGCTTCCCTGTGTCCAAGGCCAAGACTGCTGAGATCTCGCTGAAGAGCAGATGTGACACAGATTTATTTCAGAGGCTTTCAATCTGCAACTCCAAACTACGTTACGCAAATGTGGCAAATAGACAAAAACCTATTATTACTGTGCATGAGCTTTTATATGAAAAACATAACACTTCATCCCTTAATTTGGGACTTGCAAAGTGAGGGTAATTTCTGTGATGCAGGTACAAAGGTCCGTTGTGTAGCCTCCTTTTTAACTCGTCTGATTTTTTTGCAGCACATGTGAGCACATGGGGGACGAGTTGAGGATGAGTCTCTGGTCTTAAGCACAGCGCTTACCACCAGGCCACATGGTAGGAGCAGAAGGTGGTGTCTGACTGCTGTCTGAGATTGTGTCAGAAGACTCTCTGTGTCAGTGCCAAGAAGTCTAAAAATATCTCGGTTTGCTAATATGCTTGCTTGGATCTCCTTCCTGTGTGCCTCTGTCTCAGCACGTGTACGTGTATCCTGGTTGTGAGGTTTTATTGTTTGCTCATTGTGTGCTCGTATTTATATGAAATTATGTCTGTGAATGTTGTTGCCAAGGAAGAGAAATCCAGAGCAGACACAGATTTAAATATGTCTGTCCCCCCTAACTGACTTTAATCACTGTTTTTCTCCTAATTTAGTCCTAATTATTTTTTTCCCTAATTTAATCCTATAACAATCAATTTGTTCGTGTCCTGGTAAAAAATAAAAATCAATTTTCCCTGCTACCAGTTTTCAAAACGCTCATGACTATCATGCATTTCCTGGTCAGTTTATTGAAAAAAATATTTTTTTAATTTAACCTCAAAGGAGAACACTGAATGAAAAAAGCTAATGTTTATGAAATTGTTAAAAGATGAACAGAGCTGCACAATGTTCAGTATCAGTTGAAGCGGCAGAGACCATTTTATATTTCAGGATTTTATTTGACTTTGCGACCGGTCAACACTCTTAAAAGAAAGAGAAAAGGAGGGACGAGCAAACAGATTTTGTTGGATAAATCACATGCTGTGTCAGCCCTTGGAATATTTTCAATGCATGGGAAACTGTTGTATTTTGTGTTTAGTTGTTCCATTCATTACTTGGCATTACTGCAGGGAAATTAAAGAAGTTATAGTTCAGTACAAACAGGAGTTTTTGGAAAACAGTGCTGAAAGCCAATGTCTGCCATCTGGCCCAATGGAAAGGATGTGAGAGCACAGGGCCCACGTCAACACGGTGGAGGAAAAGAAGTGACGGAGCAAAAGGTCTGTTTTAAAGCCTCCACAGTCCGGGACACACAAAAACACTGACAATTACAGAGCTAAAACCCCCTCAACCTCAAAGAAATAGAGGTTCTTTTCCTGATGAAAGGTACACGTGTATGCAAATTAGGGCTGTCAACATAAACGCATTAATCTATGCGATTAATGCAACAAAATATTTTAACGTAGTTAACGTACGTTTGTTTACTTTCCGGAAGTTGACCGTGGAAATGAAACGGCCGCTAGCTGCAGTAAGTTAAATCAAGATGGAGAGAGCTTTTTGCATTAGAAGTAAAACAAACAGATGCGCGACATACATCGGAGAACTGTGCAGAGGAATTACTCCACGTGTCAAACAGAAGGGGGGTGAGTGTCAAACGGACCACTTAAGGCACTGCTATGCTAAGCTAGCTGCTAGGCTGCTTCCATCTCAACATCTAACGTTACCCTGTGCAGCACACAGTCTGCAGAGGACCCCCACTGTGTCCCTAAAAGACCGTGGTTTGAAAAAAACATCCTGGCAAAATGTGGGCACATTGTTGGCACGTCAAACACAACTGTTAAATGATGGAGAGTTGAGAGCAAAGTGCACAATGACAGCAGGAAGAGTCGCTAGTTCCACCAGGTGGAATTCTGCCTCCAAGATGATCAAATGTGTGTAGTTTTGTGTTTACAATAACATCAACAATTAAACAATAGTGTCTAAGATACGTTTTCTAAAGTAATTACTCATTACTTTTAAGATTTAGTCTTTAGAATAAAAACAAACATTCATCAAAAACAACATTGTAACAAAAACAACAACATTCATCAATCTCTTAATTTTGAAATTCATTCATCTCGATTAATGCGATTCGAAAATGCGATTAATTAGTTGTTGTTTTTCCCATTGACAACCCTAATGCGAACCAATTGAAGGCTGTTTTTATTCTGCAGTGCTTTGTCTATTCTTTGACCTTTTTGAATTGTACATGGATTGTAAGTATCAAGAGTTATCTTTGGGTTCACCTGTGTGCAGTTTCAACACAATATATGAAATGTGTAACGTGATATATTATCAATAATGATGGTCAAATAAGGTTAAAGGGTGTTTGTCTCGATAAAATCAATGGACTCGTTGGGTTTTGAGATGTGCTTTGTGACCCTTTGAGGAATTTTAAACCACTGACCCAGAAAAACTGGATGTTTTCTCAAGTTGCCTTGGTTGCATTGGCTCTTAAGGCATCAATCACTGAATGTCAGACAAGACACACATAAGGGAGTGAAAACAAGGAATTAAAAGGGAATAATCTTATCTATTTTACAGACAAAAGGCCCCAAAGGGCGTTATGAGTTAGAAAGAGAGACAGACACCAGAAAAAGAAAATAGGTCAATATTGGGTTGAGGTAATTGTTTAGGGGCATTCTTCAACTCCCTCCTTCGTCCTCTGTTCAGCGTTCATCAGATGAACGATTCTGGAGATGTTTACATTTGGTTATACTAAGCTACGGCTTGGTGTGGGAGAAATATCAGGGCTAAGCAGATATTTTGTGTATGACGGTTTTCAGCACACATTTGGAAAACATTCCAAAAAGAAGGGTGAGTAGAAAAACAGACTGCGACCAATTAAATCCATCCATCATGTCTCTGCATGCCGTGACAGTGTGACAGACGTCCACCAACAAATGGGAGAAACATTTGTCCATTTATCTTCCCCACCCCCCTTCCTTAACTGCCTAACTGCACCTATAAGATGAGGAAACGTGTTTTATTGACAATTATATATCACAGGGTGATTGCATTACTCTGCTTGTGGAGGTTTAAAGGAGTAAAAACACAGGGAGAATTTCATCAGGTCAAACCTACCTTCGCCTGTTCGGTACCATGTGTTTTGTTAAAAAACAGAGGAGAGAAGGCTTCTCTGGCTATCGCATAACCTCTTTGTCAGATTTTCCAAATCCTTATTTGCAGCTAGAGAGGTTTTGCAAAATATATTCCTCTTCACAGCCGCCGTCTGGGTTAAACGTCTGCCAGAGATCGTTTTCACATTTTTCCACTCATAGCCGATTCTACTGGTTAGATTCTTCCACACACCGCCTTCCTAATTTCAACGTGGGATTATGTTTTGCAGACATTTGGTTACAAAGAAATACACAGGACTTGGTTGGTGTGTGAAGGCAATACCGATTTAAAAAGGTGGGGGTAACACTAAGACTGTCGTACTATTTTTCTTGTTCTTTGTGATATAATATTGACGTTACCTGATGCACCTGCTCTTGTTAAGTGAACTGCGTTTTTTGGATGATGGTCCCTCAGAAAGAGGTGTTGATGACACCTAAAGTGCATATGACGACCTGACTGCACTTTGTTGAAGAAACCTCCCCTCCTCCCTCTCTGTCTCCCCATTTACCCATGTCTCTCTTTCTCCACCCCCTCTCTCCTTCTTTCCCTGTGTTTTTCTCCAGAGACCTCCAGTTTTTCAAGAACTCACTGTTCTTAACTACTACTAAGAGAGTACCACAGGTAAGCTTTTTTGTTGAGGCATGGATTTGTGATTTTGCTTTTATTACTGGTCTGTATTTTAGTCTTTTGGATGGGATGATCAGATGTCACAGCTATGGTTCGTGGCTCGTGCTCTCTCAGAGAATGAAAAGATTACTAATGCATGGAACAAAAAGTAAGCGCTAGTAGTCTTAACGGTTTGTACATTGTTTAAGGAGAACAGTGCATTTGCCTAAATCTTACATGTTATACAGACCTGTAGCTGTTTCTTTGGTGTCGGTGAATTTAGACTTTTGAAAACAATATGTTGCACTTGGATCAAGTTTCCATTTGCATTTTTTAGGTCTCTGGATTTAATCATTCCGGTTTGCATGAACTAGTTATATGTCTGTTTTTAGTTTTTCATGCTTGTTTGCTCCATTGGACTTGTATGTATTGTTTCATACAAAAAACACATGTTTAAGAACCTTTTGCATACATATATTGTGCACTTCAGGAACATCTGTGTTGCATTATTGCTCCCATTGCCAGTTTATGTTGAAATGTGACAACTTGATTGATGGAGGCGGGCTGGGAGCAATGCAGTTGGGTTCAAGCTGCAGCAGTAGGAATCTAGGGCTCATTGATCAACAACGGGTTGACTTGACCTCTTGACCAAATATATGGGGAGATTGTACCCTCGATATTTCTTTTATTATTCAAAACATTATGCTACCACAATTCCTACAATACGGCTCCAACAAAATGAATCCATGCTCTTTTCTGTTGTTAACACAATCCAACCTTTACATCTCATTACATGCCTCCGCCGTCCTTCTGTGTGTTGGCTCTGGAGAAGTTATGTTCCCTCTGCGTGCAGCCATCTTGGCTGTATTGGTCAGCGTGGCTCTGTGCCAGGATGACTATGACTACCGTCCTCCTTCCATGCTAGGACCTTCAGGGCCCAACTGTGATCCAGAATGCGATTGCCCGATCCATTTCCCCACCGCCATGTATTGTGACAGCCGCAAACTCAAGTTCGTCCCCACGGTCCCAACAGGGATCAAGTACCTGTACCTCCAAAACAACCAGATAGAAGAGATCAAAGCAGGGGCCTTTGATAATGTCACTGGTGGACTCCGCTGGCTGGTACTTGACAACAACCAGATTACCAATGCCAAGATACAAAAGGGCACAATCGACAAGCTCACCGTCCTGGAGAAGCTATTCTTCAGCCACAACAACCTGACAGAGCCAGTCATCCCTCCCTCAAAGTCTCTTGATGAGCTGAAGATGATGCATAACCAGATATCCAAGTTCCCCGCTGGACTCTTGTCCGACAAAGAGAACTTAACTTCCATTCACCTTCAGCACAATCAGCTAAGTACCGAGGCCATCGGGGGGGCATTCAAAGGGTTGAAGAGCCTGGTGTCTCTAGACGTGAGCCACAACAAGCTGAAAAAGCTGCCAGCCGGAGTCCCAAGTTCGCTGGAAATCCTCTACGCCGACTACAACGACATCGACGGTATCGGTGCAGGATACCTGAACAAGCTGACCACGCTGCGGTACCTGAGGATCGCCCACAACAAGCTGGTGGACTCGGGAATCCCTGCTGGGGTGTTCAATGTAACATCGCTGGTGGAGTTGGACCTGTCGTTCAACAAACTTCAGTCCATCCCAGAGATCAACGAGCAACTGCAGCAACTCTATCTGCAAGCCAACGAGATCAACAGTGAGTGTCAATTGCCGATCTTGTCTCTTGATCTGGCAATCTCTTCAATGTTGTGTCTAAAACTAGTAGTCCTTTGATTACCTGCACAAATTGTGTACGCTTTTCCAATCTCCTTGACGATCCTTGCAGGTGTTTTGCTATATTTTGTGCGTTATCCTCAATGACTGGCAGAATAGCATGAAACCACATGTATGTGTTTCACATGCATCCTCATACTGTTGTTTAAAAACCTCGGCAGGGTACCTTTTAAACACCAGCATAAGGGGGTTAAAAGGTATATCATCATTTTTAAGTATATGTTTTATCCTGCAAGCTTCCATAACTTCCCCTCTGCTTTTGTTTCTCTGCAGAGTTTGAACTGACAAGTTTCTGCAAGCTCGTCACAACTGTCAACTTTTCCCACCTGAAGCATCTGCGTCTGGATGCCAACCAAATCACATACAGTAGCATGCCCCCTGAATACTCCAACTGCCTGCGCCACGCTTCAGAAATCATATTTGAATAAGGACTTCCCTCAAATCAATAACCTCGCCACGATCTCCTTCTCCACTAGAAAAACGCAGATCAGCCCAAAGCCTTCTGAGTTTGAATGGCGTAATATCCTTCTTGTCATAGTGTCTTTGTGTTTAAGTAGTATGCAGATCTGAGGTAGTGTATTGGCATCTTTATCAATTAAATGTACATCCTGAATGAATTGAGATCTGGGCCAATTTAAGATTGCTAAATTCATCAGGCGTCAAACAAGTGTTTTTAACTGACTCTAAAAAGAGGGAAGAAAATATGAAAACGTACCAAAAGTTATGTGAATATAAATGTGATCACATACATTGATTAAAAACACACACTTTACACATTCCATCTTGTATTGAAGACACAGTAGAGTAAACAATGGCTCCAATGTCTCAACTCAGTTGTCGTTATTTGTCGTTGTCGTTATTTTTTTGTCTGTCTTTTCAGTTCCAATGTTTAGCATGTTTAATAAAAGGTGGGTACAATAATAAATCCATTGCTGTGCAAAGGAGCAGCAAATAAGGACTGCGTACTCAGATTTCAGTGTATAATGCTTAATGTAAGGAATTATAAATACACGTACAATAGTATTTACATAGAAGTCACATTTGTCAACATCTTGAAGTGGTTTTCAAGAAAATACCATCGTTATTTACTTGTTTCTGCCAATGTATGCCATCTTTAAAGAGGGTGCCTTGTTCCAACTACCATGATGTTGACGTGTTGACCTGAAGTGTTGACATATACGCAACTGAAAAATGTTTTATGGGAAATAACTCCTTCAATTCCTTAAGGCAACTGAGCTGTTCCTGAAGTACTTGGTGTTAAAGGTTTAATAAATGACACTTGATTAAAATACATTGGTAGCATCCTTGAAACAAACCTTGAGATGATGGATGGTGTTTCTAAGGAATCACAACTTAAACGGTTTCCTTAATTAATTCCTAGCTTTCAACTTAATTGTGCATTGCTGATTTGTATACATTTCTATTAATTGCATGCAACCAATGGTACCCTTCTTTCATAATAAACTACAGCTTTTGCAGTTGAGGTTCTGTCATTGTTACGTTGTTGTTCATTATGTTAACCAGCACAAAAACAACTCGGCCGCAATATAATTTTTCCCTGATTGATTTTTTTGGGGTCAGAGTAACTTCTCATGGATTTGCTGTGAGGTAACAAAAAAAGTTTAATAAACTATGTTTTTTTGTAATATATTGCTTTTAAGCCTGCTTTAAATAATTTTGAGCATGTATGGAAACAAACTGATTGATTGATATTCATCATTATTATCGCTGAAAAACTATTTTGTTGTTGGTAAATACGACAACAGTTAATTATGAATGATTAATAAAGACAATCTTTAGGCGCAACATTATTAAGCATTTTGAGACATTTCACATGTAATTTTGCACCACGTTGATACCACAAAATCTAAGTCTAATGTAATTTTTTTTCTTTCTTTCAGGCCTGAATCTTTAGGGTTAGTCATGATGTTTACAAGATTTAGAAAAGGAAAAGTTGGAGTTTTTGAAAGGGATGGCGAATGTTTTTGTTTTCCCAGACCTGCCGTTGTGTTTTAGCCAAACTGTTTACACTCATGGGAAAACCATTTTCAAAGAGCCGTTCCATGTGTGTCTGTATCTTGTATTCTGCTGAAGTCATCCGTTAACAGTATTTACTGCGCATAGAGTACCAATTATCATTTTCCTGTCCCACGTTTGGTCATTCCACGAGGAGACAGAAGGAACCGATGGTCCTGGAGGGATGCAGGGGTTGCAGGGTTTTGCAGAATTCCACGAGTTTAAGATATTTTGTATGTGAATCTGCTCTTCCAAATGTCTCAGACCACAAATACCCCACTATGATTTCAAAGTAACTTCAGTTAAGCTTCCCTGTGGAGCTTCAATAGAAGCAATGAAAGTTGCCGTGAAAGAGGACCGTCTTAGCATACTGTTTTAAATAAGCTACAGGCTCACTTGTGTCCAAAGAGATAAATGTTAATAATATCTCTGAACCCCCAACGTCTTAACCGAACTGTAATAAGAATTGTTCGTGCAGGTTCATCAACAGGTCTTTCGAGGTGTTTTCCTGCATAGAAAACCACAACTTTATATTTTTCTCCAAAGTTGTATCCCAATGGATCCCTTCAAAAAGAAAAAAAGAGGTTTCTGCTCAGGTATTTGTCTCCTTTCTTGGTAGCAAGAAATCTTACAATTTGAGTAGTCTGAGAAATGCATTTCATTGAGTGCCAGAGGGAAATAAAACTTTGGAAACGGCCACATTCATATTGTTTTCTACACCATCTTTTAAAAGGGTACCATCCACTTTGTGTTTCTATTGAATTCATGTTGGAACTGGACCACATTGCGTCTACATCAACAGAAAAAGGTTATCAGACAAGACAGATAAAGGTCATCACTGCAGGAAATGACAAATACACCCTGTTGAATCTTTTAAAGTGTCCCTTGTGATATATAAATGCACTGACACTGTGGATAAAAAGTCAGGAGCAAAGATTAATATTCACTGTCTTGGGGTAAATTGCATGACATGCCTTTCCACAGTATAAATAAAACTTTTGCAAGTCTCCGCACTAACTGTAAGAACACGACCAATCCCGGCTGATGTGTTCCACGTCTGCTTGAAACACTTGTGTGAGTATTAGTGGGAGTTTGCTATTAGAGCAGACACTATTTTTAAGTTTTTATGCGCGTTCATTAGGCTGATGGCATTTGTACTTGTTATGTAAAGTCTTCCAGATGTCGCATTTGATTCCTGATGTTTTTAAGTAGATCCAGCTGTGAAATTGAGTTTTAATTCCAATGCGGCCCACGAACGTGAACGGTAGTTCGGGCTGTTCTGTCTTGGAGTCGCGCTGGGAGCTATCAATGACACCCAACACTTCTCCATGCCCTCCAACACGAGTCGGCGGGTAAAGATATTAACAGACCTGCCTGCTGCCACAACTTTTACAACATGTTCAATGTTTGCTTTAACAGCTTTTAGCACATTTCACATGTTTTTTTAGTCATTTTACCGATTCCAAATCTAGGACTATTTCCTCCTCTTCCTCCCGGGTCGCCCTTATTTAAATTGTGAGTGGAGCTCCTGCTGTCCGTGTCCAGACAATAAAGTCCTTTCATAATTCCGTAAGCCTCACATCCTCCTGCTTGAGATGGCGAGTGTATAAGTATAATCAGCTGTTGCAGCCGGGGAGCCAAAGATCGTGTTTCGGTGTAGATCACCTTCAACCTTATTCTACAGCTTTTACTTAAATGACAGCATGCAGTTTTCTTCTAATTGTTTTGGGCTATTTCCCTTCCCTCTTTCATTTTAAGCTCTCTCTCAGTCTCTTGTAAAAAAAAAAAATTCTCACAATTGTACCAAAATGCGTTGATAGTGTGAGTTGATTGTGTTTATCCAGATGTCCCATCTGTGCACTTAACACATACGCACACACACGCACACACACACACAGCTTGGCTTTTTTTCATCCGCAATGAAGGTAAGTAGTTTTAGCAAGACATTTTTATGCGCAGCCAGGCTTTCAGCGAAATACAAACAGCAGCATGCTAACATGCTAACAGGGTCAGTGCTAACATGCTGATGTAATGTTCCCCATCTTAGTATATGGTCTTAGCTTCCTCGTTAGGTGGATATGAATGTGTGTGCTGAATTTCATGGGTTAGGGTGCCCTCGTGATGGTACTGGACGAGGATCACTTAAGCAAACATTTTTAAATACTTAAAAACAGGATATGCAGGTATTCTCAATTGATCTATTGTCGTACAAACATGCACTTGGATTTAGCCCTTTGCTTTAGTTCTTGGATACATTTGAGAAAGCATCAAACTAAAAATACACGCTAATAGAGGACAAATGTTTGTCTATAGTGTCAAGTGTCCTGTCATTTTCATTTCCCGTGGTATCTTATGGGTAAGTCATTCTAAAACTAATAAAGTTAAGCAAACCGAATAAGTGGTTGATTTCCGTAGTGGTCTGGGGCTTCACATTAGACAGTGGCGTCTTGTGAAACTTTTCCTGCCAATGATCCGGGGTAAAAAAGCATCTACATTGATGTATGTGAGTAATTAGATTGGTAAGACTACAAAAAGAACACTTGAGCTGTAAAAAGAAAAACAAAAGACAAAATGTTTCCTGGAGGAAGTTGGGTGTGAATGTCGCCGCGTGACCTCACCTGACCACCTGGTAAACACTCCCAGAGGCCCGTGAGGCTGGAATGAGCCATAAAACGTCTGGGCACCCATCCCCCATCATAACGGGAAGAGAGTGGATCCTCTGAAGACCAAATGGTTAAGTTGGGTGGAGGGACAACGGTTCGCCCAACAGAAGAAAAAAAAACATGGAGAAAAAACAAAAAGACCAGGAAAAAATGCTGGGCTGGCAGATAGATGCAACAAAAGCTCCGAACGGGCTTCCCAACTCGCACACAATCGTCCTCCCACCAACAACACGTGCTCCATCCTCTCACTTCAACTGATGTCCAAACTGCAGCCTTGGGGGAATCAAACCAACGACATTACGGGTCTGACCGGGCTCCACCACCAGAGCTCTGTATTGAAGTAGAACCGAAGCACACCTGGCTGCAAGTGGACCCTTCACACCACTCGGAGGAACAGGTAAAGGAGAGCTTATCTTCCTTCGGTAAAAAAGAAAACGCTCGAGAGCTCGAACAAACGCATTATGTGCTAGTTTACGTCTGATTGGATGAACCTTTTAAGTCTGTGTTTCTAAACGTGCAGGTGTTTTCAAAGTGGATTCCAAAAGGATTTGAAAGGGTTTTATGCAGACGTCTCAGTCGATTCATGCAGTTTTTTCAGTTACACTTTATTTTATGAATTACAAGTTCATCAGTAAGGATAATGATTGATTAATTGGTTGATTTGTTTCTTTTATAATCAAACCTAGAAATGAATTAACTAAGAAAATGTAACTGTGGCCGTTAAGTTTGCAAATGACACACATTTCTCACACGTCTCAGTTGATTCATGCAGTTTGTTTTTAGTTACACTTTATTTTATGGATTACAGGTGCATCAGTGAGGATAATGATTGATTGATTGATTGATTAATTGGTTGATTTGTTTGTTTTATAATCAAACCTAGAAATGAATTAACTAAGAAAATGTAACTGTGGCCGTTAAGTTTGCAAATGACACACATTTGCGAACCTGCAAAATTTGGAAAATTACAGATATTGCCGAACCCGTTTTAATTCCACAAAATTATCATCCATAAACACATTTCTGGAAGCGGGAAGTCAATGCAAATTCTTCTTAATGTTTTAAAGTCATGAAGTGGATTTCAGCAGAGCCATCAACTGGAACCAATCAAACGCAATAAAACCTGTTGCGTAGTTATCATAGCTGGCTCAGACACAAAGCCCCTGGCAGGAAATTTGTATTATCATATTCCTCTACATGTGTTTCTCCTCAGTGAGTCAGGGAGATTTTAGCCAACATTTGTTTTCAGTAATCTTTTTTTGCAGATTTGTTAAAGCCCTGATTCATCATTTTTGGTCACATAACACACTTTATCAATGAAGGATGAAGGACATCCCATCTATCTAAGTTTAGTTACTTAATGTTCAGGTGCCTCTCTCAATCTAAACGTTGCACTTAAATGCATATCAGACAGACAGTTTGCCTGACTGTAGATTTCATCCCAAACCTTTTTCAGGCTCAGTGGAGGTACGTTCGTAGTGTGCAGGTTACTCCCTGGCCATCCAGTAGCGTGATAACAAACTTCAAGTTACTGTAACTGTTGGTAGCCTCTGCAGCCCGACAGCAACCTGCATCATGCTGAGAGACGAGGAGGAGAATCTATGGTGGGATTGCACGGCTGATCATCCTCACACAACTCAACTGAGATTATCTTGCTGCCTTCAAGCCTTTGCCGTCACTAGTGGAAATAAGCGCAAAAGGTCACCGATCCTGATGCTGGCGAGCTTGTACAAAAACAATTTGCCAGGCCAGCGTGCAGTGAAATCCGCACTGATTAAGCTTGACCTCTTTCCCTTAACACCCTCGACCGCCGATCACGTTTGTACTTAAGAAGAGTCGTCTCTCTGCACGTTGACCCGGTCAAGCTGCAACAACGTGACGTCACTCCAAAATGTGGATTGTATCATGATTTACCATACAGAACAACATGAATTACCTCGGACTCACGGAGTTCCCATGACCGCAGCACTGTGAATATATTTTCGATGCTTGATGCCCGATATAAATTGAGTACAGAAAACAAGAGAAGACGCGGAGGACGAGTGATGATGTTTAAAGTGATTACAGAGAGACGTCTCTTATTACAACTACAATGGTTGGGGACCATCAAGTTGGGGGCCTCGGGCACCCAATATCTGAAGGGTGCCCGTAAAAATATTCAAATTTTGGTGATCATGTGCTTACATTCTACACAGGCTTAAGCATATTGCTTACGCTTGGAGACGATCAACTGTAAATTATAATTAGATTGAGCGGTATTTGCAAACTTTCCATTCATCCCACCATCTGTGTTGACTGCAAACACCGTAAGGCTTAATAGTTTGCAGATTAATGAGTCCTTATCTGATCATGCGGTGGACATCAGCAGCATAAAATTAGCACGAAAGGTTGCTGAGGGATTTGTGAGTGGAGTTTTAAAAAAGGATCAATCGTGCCGTCCAAAGGAGGACGGGTTGTACATTAGGAAGCCAGCGAACAAGAAAAACAGATAGGCTTGTATTAGCCTGTTTGTAAGTGGGTCATGTCTCAAGTACTAAAAAGGCTTAGTGCACTGTACAACACCACGGGATTATGACCTTTGATCCGTGGAGAATCTCATTGGCCGATGGAAGCTTTGGTGTCATCATGAATGACAGGTTGGCAAGGGTCAATTGAAGACATGGTCGTACAAATACAGGGAGGAGAGAGGTACAGCCATCATTTGTGACTACGCTTGATAACTTGCTGAAGGAGGACAAAGGCAAGAACATATTTACAGAGTTTAAGGTAAGCTTTGGTTCCTGGGAGGCAAAGACAAGGATAGGCGTTGATGGTTGGTGGTTTGGTACACGTTGGTTTTGCAACTGGTGATTGCGTTTTAGCTATATGGAGAAATGTATAACTTCATTTACGTCACACTTGTATCCCAAAGCTGGGTCAAAAAGCTTTTTTCTCCTGTACATTGACAAAGCAGGGACACAAATGTCCAAACAGGTGTGGCGGATTCGTCTTTGCAGGCCGTCCTGAGTTTCAGGCTAACCAGATGGCATCTGAGGGGTATCAAGTAGAAGCTTAAGACATGGTTGGATGGAAGATGATACAGCAGATCCAGATATATTGCCCGTTTTACTTCTATTTTTGTGTTTCTGCACTAGTCTGTTACATAGTGGTGTCATAGAGGTGTCTTTACCCCTGTGAGTGGACAGTACCAGGCTATCTGCCCCTTCCCCCAGCTACCATTGATAACACTGGAAACAATTTGGTTCTCGTTAAGAGAATGTGTGCAGATTTTTTTATTTGCATGCATCATTTTCAAACCAAAGCAAGTGGATTTGTGTGGCTCTACATGTTGCAATCAAAAGCCCGATGAACGGTATTCATCTTAGTATTGACAAAGTCCTCAAGCATTGGCTTCAAGATTGCCCTCATACAATTAAAGTTGACCTGGATCCTATCTTTGGAGCTTCACATGTCATCGGCAGGCTAAAGAGGAAAGTTAATGACCCAGAAAGAGCAGGTTATTCTCAGCTGCTGTTGAAATTCAATGTTAATGGCATCAGTGTGAGAGTTGGCAACACACGCTGGTGGAGGACTTAACAAACAAGTCTCCATTCATGAACACTAAGACAGCTGATACTTGTTTTTGATGCCAGCTCCATGGTTTGTGAGCTTCAAAGTGTGTGTGGCAGTAAAATATGGTTTTGTTTCCATTTCCATTATAGATTCGGCATCAACATGTCACGTCTCCTGAGCCTCCTATGCCTGTGCCTGGTTGGGCAAGTTCTCAGCCAAGACATGCCCTTTGAGGAATATATTGCCCAGATCCAAGCATGTCCTAAAGAGTGTCGCTGCCCCGCTAACTTCCCTCGGGCTGTCTACTGTGACAATAAAGGCCTGAAGAGCATCCCCAACATCCCTCCACACACATGGTATCTCTACCTGCAGAACAATCTAATTGAAGTCCTGTCAGCGGATGCCCTGCGTAATGCCACCGAGCTGCGCTGGCTGAACCTAAACCGCAACAAAATCAATACAAACGGAGTGCAAGAAGGTGCCCTAAGTGCGATGTCTCACCTGGCGCACCTCTACATGGATGAGAATCTCCTGTCCTCTGTGCCGAATCCCCTGCCGGCCAGCCTGGAGCATCTACGTCTCTCTCACAATCGCATCTCCAGTATCCCTGCTCGTGTCTTCATTGGTCTCGATAAGCTTAACCTCCTGGACCTCCAGGGAAACAAGCTGATGGACGATGATGTGACGGAGGTGAGCTTCAAGGGTCTAACAAATCTGGTACAGATCAATCTCGCCAAGAACCAGCTTAGCAGCATGCCCATTGGCTTACCACCCAGCACTACCCAGCTTTTTCTTGACGGCAACAACATTGAAAAGATCCCAACTGGCTTCTTCAAAGATTTGCCAAATATGGCATTTCTCAGGCTCAACCACAACAAGCTTGGCAGCAGCGGAGTTCCCAAAGATGTGTTTAATGTCTCCAGCATTTTGGACTTGCAGCTGTCCCACAACCAGCTGACCGAGGTTCCCTTCATTCCCTCCGGCCTTGAACAGCTTCACCTTGACCACAACAATATCAAAAGTAAGTTTAGCTTTTATCTGATTCATTCGGGCTGTAAATTCTGTGTTTCTTGCATGTAACCGTTGGATAGGAGAATTCATCGGAGAGGTATCCCGTGATGGTAATGTGACTTATTCATTGCCTTTGTTCATTTACAGCTGTAAGTGGCGCCAACATCTGTCCCATCTCCTTTGAAGCCATGCAGGACTCGGATAACGACAGCGTTCCTCGACTGCGCTACCTCAGACTGGATGGCAATACAATCAAGCCCCCAATTCCCAGGGACGTCATTCTGTGTTTCCGTCTCTTGAGGTCCATTGTCATCTAAAGAACACAAAAATCATTCGCATTATGGAGGCAAAGTTTAATTTCCCACAACTGATGATTACCTGTGAATCTGAACTGTTGACATGAGTAATATTTGCATGATTGTGAATGTTTGCATGATTTTCGTAGAATTTGCATGTTTGTGAAGCTCACATGTTGGTCATTAATTGGCATCAAGTTGTTTCATTTCTTGGTTCCTTTCAGTTCCCCAAAACACTCAATTTGTAGCAGTGAAATTAAAATAACAACTAAAAGAAATTAAATACAATTGACGGAGAACTGAGTGATAAGAAGCTGTATTGATGCTGCCGTGTGATGACCACTAGTTGTGCCTTATGTTGGTGTAAACATTTGAATTCAGAATAAAGATTTGATCATAATCTAGAATGATAGTGATTTTTGCAGATAGGAGTACAGATGTGTTAATTACTTATTGAAAGACATCATTAACCGTCTTTGAGCGGAATGCAAAAAAATCCCTCTTCATTGCTTTTTCTATTGTTTTAGGAAAAATTTGCTTTACACTCGTAGACTTGAAGCCAAATGAATGGTCTTGTGTCTCAGTTTTGCTTATCTATCTACAGTATCTATCTTATTTACCTTCTAAAATGACTCTATTCTACAAATATGCATATTTAACATAGGTAATTTATTTTTATTTAATATTGGAGTAAAAAAGAATACGAAGAATGTCAAGAATGTTCCTTAATGTTTTTAAATGCCAAAACACTTTTGAATTTCTCTGTTTTATTTTTCTGAAGGAACTGACCAAGAGAATTCATTTAAATTGTCTTCAATATGAATAAAACTTCTGAAGATGAGCTTGTGCCCGGTGAAGTTCTTGCAACTTGAACGTAAATGTGCTTGTACGAATAATAATTACACAATTTGTGGCATGGCAAAACGACACTACATCAAGATCCGCAGTTATTAATCAACCAAGTAAAAGTTAAATATAAAATTCCATTTATGTGAAATGACTTAAACTGTCGTGCACTCTGCATCTGTCATTGTCTCAAGCTTTTTGGGGTCTTCAGTTCTTTGCCTTCTGAGAATGCTCAGCTGGAGAAAAGCCGCAAATATAAACCCCAGCCCATATGGCAGGTGCAGAAGGATTAGTGGAATTCCCGCCAGGTTCTTTTCCCCTCACTCATCAAAAGGTCTCGAGTTACCATGGCAGTGAGAGAGGCGGGTGGGCAGGTGGACACAAAATTGTGGGCAAGTAAAACTGACAGAGTGGAGATTTTTTTCTCTTTTAAACAATCCACATTGAAGTGTCCGCAGCACCTTCTTGAACGTTCAAGAAGAAATCAAAGACTGCGATAGAACCGCTTCCCTCGGGTCCCGGCGACTTTTCGGTCTCATCAGTGTTGTTACTGTAACCCGAGACTGAACGCAAATCCGTAGTTTAGACGAAACATTTAGGAGGCGGCAATGAGAGAGAAGCTCCGACCATGAAGGTAGGTAGGCGGAGGGGGGGGGGGGCAGAGGCCTTCCTTCAAGCGGGGACTTCCTCTCAGCGCCGTGCTAACGGGGGCCTTTCACAGAGGTCCCATTGTGTACAAGAGCCCCGTAGATCCCCCCCTACCTGATTCCCCCCCCCATACATGAAAGCTGCACATGCCGGAGTTTCACCAAGACAAATATTTCAGTCAGATTGAGCCACACTGTTAGAAAAATAAAGGATACACTTGTAAGGGATAAGTATTTTCCCTTTTGAGGGGGACGGGGGGGGCTTCGCTCTCTCTTGCTCTGTGTCTGCTGTCTGTCTGTGTGTGTCTGTCTGTGTGTGTGTGTGTGTGTGTGTGTGGTATTTGGGATAGTCGTGCATTTGGGTGTACGGTGTGGGGTGGGTGCTCTCGTGCTGACCAAAAGCAATGAGCTCTGGTCCAATCAGTCTCAGTTCCTACCTTCACACATAAGCGGCAGGGCACTCGGGGACTGGCCCAAGCGCACAGACCAACACACACACACACACACACACGCAAACACATACACACACACACTAACGCACACAGTCCTTTCACACACCTCACACACGCGCCCTCCCCTCTCCCAGCAAGGCACCCTGCGCGACCTCTCACCATTGGCCAAGTCCCGAAGCCCTCAGCATCTCCATCACGGCTGCAGGGGCCATTCGGGAAAGCAGGAGACAGAGGTAAGCGCTCTTGGTGCTATCTTCATGCCGCCTCGACGGCTCTGTGGTGCGGGGGGGGGATTAGGCGCCGCTGGCCCCTCCGATACAAAAAAACGCCTTTCAGCAGCCGCTTGACCAATTGGTTGGCGGTGCGGCAGCTCTATTTCCACTCGGGGATTTGCTTTGGTGACTGAAATGTGGACGTGCTTGGTGTCCTTTCCCCATTATCTCGGTGGTTGTGATACGATGGCTGGTCATTTTTTAAGCGTCGGTACACGTGATTCAGGTGTGTGCGGAGTGTTCGACAGGTGTGGGTATTTTTTCCTCGTGATTAATCTGGACAGCGTTGGTGCTGCCGACTTATTTTGCAACCCTCATTTCTTTCGATTCATTATCTCGTCAAGCAGACTTCAACAGATTTATTGACTCTTTAACTTTTTTGGAACTCTGATTTTGCTAAAATATTGCATTGTAAAATTGTATTCTAAATTGTGTTCATTGTGCACTTTCATTGATTACGTACGTTTCTGTCACTTCTTCGATTGAGGCTTTTCAAACAAAAATATTTGTCTGTTAGTGCAACATGTAGTAAAGGGACACCCGTCAAGTTTTCTGGCTATCAGGAATGCCCAACGCAAAGCCAAGCATAACACGGAGGCAGTCAGGAGGCTAGCCTCATGCACAGGTCCACACACTGTACACTGTGATGGCCTGTATAAGCACACCTCTGTCTATAGTATAGTCCCTCTTTCAGCGTAACATGCTGGATTTCATCGCCTCGTGACAGAAGGTTGCTCACCAGTCTGCTCGCCTTTTCTCAATAGGGTTTTCATGTTGAACGTCTCAGGTTGATTCTTCCTAATTCGTCTCTCCCTCTGATGTCAACACAGATTTGATTCAGGACATGAATAACCTGTGAATGTGTTGTTCTTTTTGTTTCATATCTGTCCTCATCCACAAATAGCAGCAGAGGTTTCTCAATTTGTTCTCTCTGAATGATGGGTGTGTGGAGACAGAGTGTGCATCTGTGAGAGGATGTGTCTTTCCGAGTGTGTGCTAGAATGTGTCTGTGTGTGTGTGTGGGTGGGAGTGTGCGTGTGTCTGTGTGTGTGTGTGTATCTTTGAGGACCTTCACTGCTGAATGAAGCTTTGCAGCAGTAACTCACTGCCATCCTGTCCACAAACCTCGGTGGAATTTGGAGTCTGAGTGCCGAGACAAGCAGCGACCGGGCCTCATAAAGGCCCTCTGTAAAGGCCGAGGGGTCGAGAAACCTCCCTCTCCCTCTCCCTCTCCCTCTCTCTCTCCCTCTCTCTCACCCTCACTCTCTCCCTCTCACCCTGAGGGTCACCCTCTCGCATCCCTATCTGTCTCTCTCGGACTATGACGTTTTCCTTCTGTAACCCAGGCTCCCGCTCGCTCTCTTTCCCTCTCTTTTTTTTACCCTTCTTCCCTCGCTCTCCGTTTCTCTGCCCCGGCCTGCAGGACTCTCTTTAACTCTCTCTTCTCCTTTTCCTGGTTTTCACATCATCCATCTCCGGCCTGCCAGTGTGGCTACACCTTGTATCACTTGTGCTTTCAAATGCCTCCACTTGCAGATGATTTACTGCTACAGCTGAAGTCTGTGATGACATCTTAATATGGGTAATTAACATATGCTAATCTAACCATTTTTTAAACTTGCTAACATAATGAACAGCCGGTATCTGGGTCACAGCAAAGAATGGTGGATCTGCCCCTAAGAAGTGGGAACATACATACTATTTTTCTTCAAGTAGAAACAGGATTTGAAATTTGAAATGAATCAACCTAAAATCCCTTCTCCTCTAAACTGTTACACACTCAAAACGTACACTATTGTTAAATAACTGCCAGATACTGAATTCCAAAGAGATTGTGGGAAAGGCCAAAATCCTTGTGAACATAGATGACAGAGAACTACGTCATGCATAGAAGTGTCAGGCACTGCCCTTTGATGACGACGTTTGCATGGTTCCTTATCAGATCAACCGCGACTTCTGACCTTTGACACGTCACAGACGAGCTCTGATTTGAGCCAAGATGGCTTCTCCCTGAAACAGGGGCGACCGTGTTTCGCTTCCTCCCGCTCTCTGCACCTCTGTAATGAAATCTCTGGTCTCAGTGGGTCATGACGCTGGTGTCACGAAGACACAATGCAGTGATATCTCTTAATACAAAGCCTGTCCTTATTTGTACCCGCTGTGCTTCTGTCCTTAGTCGGGTTAACGCAGTGGTACAGCATGCATGTCTAAGAAGGTCCATTTCTGCCCGCTTGTTCCTTTTCCACCGTCATCATGTGTTGTTAGTTGCATGGGTCACATGATGCCCTGTGCAGCCTCCACAGACCTAAACATTTGATTTTCCTGTGTCTCTCTCCGTGTCCAGGTGGACAACAGTATGAGGATGCTTGTGCGGCTCGTGTTCGGACTCTTTGTCCTCAAAGCAGTGGTGGCTGGTCCCAGATTTTCCCGACAGGTGGACGCATACGACAACTATGATGTGGATCTAGACAACTTAAATTTGGAGACCTATGAGTATGAAGATGGGCTTACAATTGATGATCCTCAGGTAAGCAACCGTCTTGGTCGAGAGAAAGTGTTTGTCCCCTGCCTTTGACTGCACATCTATGAATGGTCATTACAAAGGGGATCCCTGTAACTTACTAATGCAACATTTATTTCCATCAGTTCACTTCTTTAAGGTGTTTTTTTGGAGCTGGTTCCGGACCGAGGTCATATAAAGCAGACAAGCGTCCTGCTGATACCACAATTTTGTCCATGGTGGACATTCTGCTCTCCATCTTTTTGCACAATTGTGCCCAGAATATTTAGCTGATATTTATCTTTGCGGGCCACCGTTTAGGTGATGATGGAGTTTCCTCACGCTTATTCCTTCTGCATCTGGAGTATTTTTCATACATGGAATCAAACATATAGAAATGTGACGGATGTATTTTCATTTTGATAAAATAATTGAGGTTTCATTTTTCATTTCTTTTCCAATATAGATATAAATACATAGATAAACTCATTTTGTAAAGATGTATTCTATTGCCTTTTTCATTTGACTGACCGCAGTGTAGAAATGGCAGAAAGAGAGAGAGGGTGCGAGATCCAACAAAGGCCGGAACGGATCTGGGATGTTGCGGCTCCATGGCACCAGATGAGTGGAGAACGTTGGCAGGAAGGGCCAGCGGCTGGATGATGGCATCCAGACCTTCCCTTTAAATCAGCTCAAGTCGAGTGTTATGTGGCAGAATTTTGCCAAATTCATGTTCCCGTTTATACCGCTCCGTTGCACGGAAATTTGGCCACGGCGTGTCAATGTTGGCGGATTTTCAACAGGCTTCTTCTGAGCCAGGGATTTAACTCAGACCTGATGTGGATCGCACTCCCGCCGCTGCTCTTATCTAAAACCAACACCGCAATCCAGAGTTAGCACATCTGACAAGATGCTGCAGAACAAACAACACAAAGCGGTGAATTGTTGCAGCCTGCAGCCTTCTGCTTATATTTAAGACGATTAGGTTCTGTTAAGTGCTCAGTGTGGGAAAGTTGTGGCTTTGATAATTTCTCCCTGTTTAACGAGCCTGGATATGACGCAGCAAAATTCACAAGATTTAATGGGAGTCTGTGGGAGCGGTTAGAGGGGGAAGAAACTTTCCCATCTTGTTTTTCACACTGAATAAGCCTGGCAAAATGGCGTATTGCGAGGATCTGTCCCGTTGTTCTGTTTTCTACCGTTTAAGGGGAAAGGGGCCGCTCACCAGACCGTCTGCTCAAGAAGGGTGGGGATTATGTGGCTTTCATTCACACACATCGGATGTCAGGGGAGAAATGAAGCGAGGGTGACCTCCACGCACACATCCAGCCCTCTGTTTGTGTTTCTCTTCTCTCTCCTCAGGGCTCGTCTCTTTCTACCGTGTTTTCCAAGCAAATTGCCTTCCGTCCGCTGCATTCACCAAGTCTAGATTCATTTAGTCTTCTTAGTTCCAACGGGACATCCAGTCGGTGGTCTGGAACCAGTTCAAAGGTTTTTAGGTCATTTCTGAACCTGCTCTTCGTAATGCGGCTGTGGTGGACTACTGTGTATGGAAGGTCTTGTCAGCCACCTTCAGTACTTGCTCCACAAAATACTTAATAAATGCAATATCCAAGTTTCACCCCCATGCATCAATATCAAAATCTTGTCTGCTTGTATTGAATAATACAGGGATCATTTTGACCACTCCTCTATGCGTTAAATATGAAGCTACAGTTAAATTAGTTTAGCATGAAGCCCAGAATCGGGGGAGGAGGGGAAACAGCTGGCCGTGGTCCGTCCAAAACTTGCATGCCAGCACTTTTAAAGCTGACGTTTGTTTAATCTGTTTAAATAATGATGTTTTCTTTGTGTTTGCCAGGACTCCCATTTAAAAGAGATCATAAATCTCAATTGGATTAAGTAGATGACGTTATATAAATAAAGGTTAAATTAAGAATATAGAAAAACTGTAGTAAGTTCCTGCAGCCAGCGATCAGATTTCATTTACAGATTTGAGTGTCATCAATCTCCACCTGTAACTTGGCGAGAAAGCGAGAGACAGGAGAGCTCAAGAAATGTGACTCAAAATGCAGCACGTGGCTTTCCATTGGAATCAGGCCCTGCTGTGGCCGAGTATCTGTGCTCGTGCCTTCACACACGGGATCATCTTGTCATTTTCTTTGCTCGAAAGGAAGCAGCTGGCGAACTTCAGCGGGGGGGATGATGTCCGAAACGTTACCGCGCTGAATGCAGCTACTGATTGACACGCGCCATCATCCCATAGCCTGTGCATTCTGTGTTAGCAATGCTTTTTCCAAAGCTTTTTTTTTCAGTATTTTTAGTTAGTTAGCTTTTCGTCTCTTCTTTCCCCCTCGGGTGTATATGTTTGCTTTGGGGGGAAGGGGGTAAATGAAGGGGAGAGCTGCACCGAGCAAACTCTGGACAACACTTTTCAAAGGCCTACCTTGTTGTATCTCAAACTGTGTCTCTGCCAAGCTTTAAAATGTGACTGGGCGTCCTTTCTTTGCCGCATTTAAAGACTTTCTTAAGCTGTGTTGGTACCGATCACTTAATGGCAGCACGTTGTTTGACCTGATTTATAGTAAGGACGTATGAGTTTTGATACCTGCTGTCTTACTCACGTCTGACTGCTGTGGTCGCAAGTAGCTGAGAAGACTAAAATATGGATTTGTGCAGCTACCATGAGTGTCTTGGTTCCACAAGGACCATTCCCTCTTTGGTTCCTTATCAGATCAACTGCGACTTCTGACCTTTGACAGGTCACAGGCTGCTCCCTGAAACAGGGGCGACTGTGTTTCGCTTCCTCCCGCTCTCTGCACCTCTGTAATGATATCACTGGTCTCAGTGGGTCATGACGCTGGTGTCATGAAGACACGTTGCAGTGATATCTCTTAATACAAAGCCTGTCCTTAATGAAGTCTGACTGCCGTGGTGGCAAGTAGCTGAGAAGACTAAAATATGGATTTGTGCAGCTACCATGAGTGTCTTGGTTCCACATGGACCATTCCCTCTTTGCAGGGTTAAGTCAGCCCCGTTGCTGTGCGAGAGAGTGTCAGGTGTTACCTGTGGCGGTGCGTAGGGGCTCATTGCCCTCGCATGGAAAACCACAGAACTGCAGGTTGGATTGAACATCAGAGAGCGACTGCCGAGGCTGCGGCATTATAGATGGATATGCCTGAAGCTTTTAATGAAGAAACCACAGGGGATTATTGCTTTTGGCAGGGCTTCCCTTTCAATTGTTGCTTAACGTTAAAAAAGTAAATGCTGCTTAGCTTTGTTTATAGTAATATATAGTAAGTAATTCTATATTTTGAAATGAGATAAAGCGGGCCTTTACAGTTGTGCAGTGAACCTACCTGACTACACCCAGTTTGGGACCACATGTAGAATTCCCTTTTCACATTATTTGACATTTTCTTAAATAAATGAAAAACCTAATACCACATACAAACAAGAAGTTCAGACTGAATCGATACAAAGTCTGAAAATAGGTAACTTTACCTGTGTCAAATTAAATTGCATAATACCTGAGGGTTTTTTTCTCATTTACGAATGTACGGTCTGAGAGTGCTAATGGTTGATGGCAACCAAAATTAGGTTAATCCGTTATAAAATGTCCACTATGGTCTTTCCTGGAAGCTGCATGTGAATCTGTACACTTTGCTGCCACCTAGTGGTTCCAACGTGGTTGTTGTTTTTTGTTCTGTGATAAAGTAATAAAGTGATGCATCAGTTGGACTGTGTCACCTCAGATCAGATCGACTCAGTTCGGCAGACTTCTCGAGTCGTTAAATGTTTTATTAATCTCTTTGATTGTTTCTGAATTTAGGGAGGTAAAGGAAGAGCTTGCTTTCATCATTTCCATTTATATTATAATTACATTATACAGTTCCAAATTATACCAGGTTATTTGTATTTTACTAACCACCTAAAAGGTATTGGCCTGTGTATCATCTACGATTATAATAGACATCAATGATCACTTTTCTGCATTTTGACTCACTGCTGCCGTCCTTTCCTCAGATAGAGATTGGAACACTGCCCCCACCTGACTATCACTACCCTGTGCCCGAGGCCCCATATGAAGAACAAGTAGAAGAGGAGGAAGAGGAGCAGGAGTTGCCTATAACCCCCCGGCTCATCCCTCAGGGTTCAGGGGGATCCGGGGATCTCATGGGCCCAAACACACAGAAAGGTCTGAAACAGCACACACCCGTAACCTTTGAGTCCCTCGCGTTCTCCCCGGGTTCAGGAGAGGGACATGCGCCTCCGCAGAGAACCGGCCGAAACAAAGATAGACTAATCTACTTTCTAAACGTGTCGTCTGCGTCTTCAGCAGTCACCTTTTCCATGTGCACGTGTTCCATTTAACTAGCTGTTAACGGTTAAATGTGTACTTTTCAATGACTGTGTCCATTTGTCTCCATTTGACTGCTTAACCCCATCGTCATTAATGGTCCATTTCATCTGTCTGTTTATTAATACCTAATCTTGTCTCTAACAAGAGGTGGAGCTGCATCTGACGCCCATTGACATCCTTCCCGTGCCCGGTGATTTTGGGGGCTCCGTAGGGTCCGGAACCTCGGGGGCTTCTGGGACTTCTGGGGCTTCTGGGTCAGGAGGCTCAGGGGACCTGCTGGTCTCCAGTGGCTCTGGGGGTTCCGGTGACAATATCCTGATCTCGGGAGCCTCCGAGGAGCTTGTGAGCTCTGGGGGTTCCGGTGACATTATCCTGATCTCGGGAGCCTCCGAGGAGCTCGTGAGCTCTGGGGGTTCCGGTGACAATATGCTGATCTCGGGAGCCTCCGAGGAGCTCGTGAGCTCTGGGGGTTCCGGTGACATTATCCTGATCTCGGGAGCCTCCGAGGAGCTCGTGAGCTCTGGGGGTTCCGGTGACATTATCCTGATCTCGGGAGCCTCCGAGGAGCTTGTGAGCTCTGGGGGTTCCGGTGACATTATCCTGATCTCCGGAGCCTCTGAGGAGCTTGTGAGCTCTGGGGGTTCCGGGGACAATATCCTGATCTCGGGAGCCTCCGAGGAGCTTGTGAGCTCTGGGGGTTCCGGTGACATTATCCTGATCTCCGGAGCCTCTGAAGAGCTTGTGAGCTCTGGAGGATCTGGGGAATTCTTGGTATCTGGGGATATCCTGATATCTGGGGATCTCTCGGGGTCCGGGGATATTTCTGGAGCCTCCGGGGACCTCGGCTCTGGGGTTTCCACTGAATTCCCGCTGGGCTCCGGAGAGTCTGGGGACCAGTCTGGTTCTGGGTTCTCTGGAGATCTCTTGACCTCAGGGACCTCCGGAAGCTCTGGGCTTTCTGGGGACTCTGGTGAGTCTGCTGACTCAGGGATAACATTGTTATCTGGAGGTTAGTACAGTGCCAACTACCATATCTCTTTATGTGTCTTACTATATGTTCATTTTGTCTTGAATTCCATTTAACTGCAGCGTTTTTCAAATGTAGTTAAATGTCGATCACGTTTTTGTTCAACGTTCTTCTGAGCTCACACCTCATCTGACTGTCTCATGTGCATGTGATTGATTGGTTAATGGGTTGATCGATTGTCCATCTCCACCCTTCCCTAATTTCGTGTCTCCTAACCCCAACACATTGGCTCTAACAAGAGGAGGAGCTGCCCCTCATTTCTGAGCCGACCCCTAGCGAGGCGTCAGGTGCTCCAGAGTTCTCAGGAGCTTCAGGAACCTCAGGGGCCTCTGGGGATCTCGGAGCCTCTGGAGAATTAGAGTTCTCTGGATCCCCTGGGGCATCAGGTGTCTCTGGCTCTGGAGAGAAAGAGGTCCCTGAGGTCACTCTTGTCCCTGACACTGAGAAAGGTCAGTATCTAATCTGGATTTGTGGGTAAAAAACTGTTACCTGGCTCATCACCCTCGCTTTGCCAGTTATAAACTTCTGACAGGTCACAAAACAAGTTGAAATTGATTTTTAATTCATAATGGTTTTATGAAACTTTTCCCAGGGGCTAGAAAAGCTTCGGGCTGTACAGGGGCTGAAAGATCATTTTTGGCCTACGTACTGAATAATAAAAACAAGTGAATATCCACCACCTTTGAGTACAATATCCAGTTACTTTAATGTATCCATGATGCGTGATTGAAATTCATCATCCATTCTTCATTCACCCACTGTGGTTATCCAAAGACATGGTAGCTATCTGCCAAAAAGAGTTGTTTTTTGTTCTCTGCAATCAAGCTCACGTCATTTAATTTCCACTCATGAGTTAAATGCCACAAACGCGGAGTTAATACTGCTAATGTACTTCCTGTTACTTAATCACTGCGGCAAACAGCGGGCTGCTGTTTGCCAGAGCCTCCCATGCTGAGCTAACCTGTCTCTTTGACACCTAATCTTGTCTCTAACAAGAGGAGGGGCTGCTTCCAGTGACACCAGAAACCCCTCAGGAGGGTGCTGGCGGTGTGGAAGAGTCAGGGAGCTCAGGGGAGCCTGACGAGCCCGAAGAGCCTGTGATTGACCGGACAGGTCAGTACTTAACATCGCGGGCCTGAGTGAAGGGAACGGGGAGCGTGGTGAGATGGGGGGAGTCCAGTTTGGGTCTTTGTCTGCAAAGCCTGGACCCTCACAAAGACATTATTTCCCCCATTTTATTCCGCCCCCCTCTTCTTCTTCTCCTCTTCGTTCTGGTCCACATTCTCCAGGTATGCCCACGTGCCTGCTGTGCACATGCCTCGGCGGTTCGGTCTACTGCGATGACTTGAAGCTAGGGAGTGTTCCGCCTCTTCCCAAAGATACCACTCATTTCTACGCCCGCTACACCGAATCACCAAGATCAACAAGTCCTGACTTCGCCTTCATGAGTAAGTCTGAATGAACATGAATCAAATATTAGAGGTATTGAGGACCAGATATAAAGTGGACATGTTGGTTGCTTTTCTCCAGATAAGCTGAAGAGGATCGACCTGACCGCCAACGAGATAACGTCCATCGACGAGAGGGCCTTTTTGGGTCTGCCCGAGCTGGAGGAGCTGGTGATTCGAGAGAACCACATCTCACAGCTGCCCGCCCTCCCGGAGACAATGAGCCTGATCGACGCCAGCCACAATGACATCGGCAGCAAGGGCGTCCACCAAGAGGCGTTCAAAGTACGCTTTTGAAATATTTTTGAAACGCTCTATCGTCAAGACTATCTTCAAGTTTGATCGGGTCAGTTTGCAACTGAAAGGTGGAATGACGACTTGTATCTTTTCTTCTCGTACCCAGGACATGACGGGCCTGCTGTACCTGTACCTAACGGACAACCACATCGATTACATCCCTGTGCCTCTACCGTACAGCCTAAGGTCTCTACACCTACAGGTACGCGTTGTCCTCCGGATGCATCCACCCTCTTGTTGAGACACATGGAAATTGCCGATATGAACCTGGTTTAAGGAGCATTCTTTTCTCTCATATCATCGGCATCCAGAATGAGCGTGAGGTGTTTTTTTTAGTTCATTCCGTGTGTCTGCGTTGGTATGACATTAAAGTTGACTTTAACCTCTTTTTCTTTTAACAAATACAAATATCTCATGCCATTTTTTCAGACCTTGCTACCATATCAATCATAAAATGTATGCTGAAATGACTACTATGTGACAATTCTTGCCACAAATTGGAAAAACTCCCTGCAGGCTCCATTCTAATCTCCCCCTTTTCATTAGCAAGTCTCCTCTGCTCAGAGACGATATCTCATCCACTATCTTGTCTTGCAGCGTAACAACATTCAAATGATGCACGGGGACACATTCTGCAACCTGAAAGATTTCAACTACATCAGGAACGCACTGGAGGACATCCGTCTGGACGGCAACCCCATCAACCTCAGCAGGACCCCGCAGGCCTACGTGTGCCTGCCCCGGATCCCCATCGGGAACCTCATTTAACCACACCGACCCCCTCGAATGCAACCACATGCACAAATGCTTGTACATATTGACACACGCGCGCAACATCCGCCGCTCCTCAAACAGTCGATTCAATTTCAGTTCCAAGCGGCCACGCACGCTGCAGGCTTACACCACACGGATCAGTTAACTGATTTATACTCTGGAAAAACATCCACAAATTAGTCAGATTCTGGCAATACATCGCTCTACTTCACAACGCAAGCACACCTACGGACACACAAACACGTACGCGCAAGAAGTCGCTCAAAAGCCAAACCGTTCCGCAACTTGATTAAACGAAAACAGTGGGTGGCATTTTGGAGAAATGCGTTTATTATATAAAACCTCAAATGGCATGTATGTGTCGGTTTAATGTCTGTTCATGACTGGCGAAAAAAATTAAAAAAAACAGTAATATTGTTTAAATGTTTGTTTTGTAAAAATAATAGTATTAATATTATTGAAAAAAACACTTTTGGAAATGTATACTAGCACAAAGTTATTGAAGCTGGAGCTTAATGGAGGGTAAATTGATGATAATGCAATAAAAAACGCATTTAAACACAATCATTTGTTGTAAAGTCTGTACTGTAATCTAAGAAAATATTTTTTACAAGAACTGGAATATTTGGTATATTAAATTTTAAAAAAGTGATGTTTCAAACCGTACAGTTGCGGATACAAAAAGTTCTAATGTCCAGTCAATCAAATAAAGATGATTGTTTGATTCTTGGGAGTGGGGGGGGGGGTTGATTTTGATTTTGGATTGGGTTAAGAATAATGCTAATAGCCTGCTATTGTGTGCTCTGTATGGAATAACCACAAGTGAATAAAGTTGTTGTGAAGACCTCTCCAAACTAGGAGTGGCTCAAAGTTTTCATTGACGCCTCGTGGTTGAAGTACGATGCCACCGAGGTGAAAAATTGGTTTTCCTCGGGGGAACGCTGTGTGCCGGAAAACCCACAGCGAATCAAAAATTCTCTATCAGTTTTTCAAACAAGTTGATGAACTTCTCCGTCCTGTCCTTGACGACCGAGTCTTTCTCGTCGCCGCCGTTCTCTGTGACCTCCTCAGTCCTCTCTTTGGGTTCCGAAAGTCCGCCCGGTCCGGCTCCCTCTCTCTCCAGAGCCAGCTGGTCCCTCCTCACGGCATCTCTGTCCTTCTCCACCAGCGCCCTCTCCCTCTCCATCACGGCCCTCTCTCTGTCCACAATCGCCCTCTCCCTGTCCAGCGAGGCTCTGTCTCGGTCCACGGCGGCAAACTCCCTGTCCAGCGCCGCCTTCTCCCTCTGCAGCACCTGCCGCTCCCTTTCAACCACCTGCCTCTCCCTCTCCATCACCTGCTTCTCCCTCTCCATCATCCGCCTCTCGCCCTCCATCACGTCCCTCCCGTGCTCCATCTCTTGCAATGCGCGCTCCATCTCCCGGCTTCCGTCATCCACCGTCTCGTTGTCGTCGTCGTCCCCGTCTCCGTTCAGGGAAACCTCGATTTCCGGTGCAGGAGGGCTTGTCACCACGGATAACTTCCTCTTCTTGGGTTTGAAGATGGGAGGGAAATCGGCGTAGGCGGGAAAGGCCTTTAAGATGGGGGCGCTGCCTTCCAGCCGACCCTCCATGGCGTCGTCGAGCAGATGGAAATAAGGCCAAGCGCCGGGCAACCCTTTAGTTCCATCCGACGGGTTCTTTAACCCCTGAGGGAGAAGAGAGAGGGCAAATAATTGTCATAGTACAACTAAGTGGGTTTTGTTTATTCATTTTTCACTGTACCTTGTATCTCTTCTTCATGTTTTCCCATTTTTTGGATGCTTGACTGTGGGTCATCTTGTGCTGTAAGCCCATGTGTTTCAGGATGGCTCTGAAATTATAATCATCTTAATAACACACAAAATCATAAGAGTACAAACAATTAATACAGCAATTAGTGAATTGGACAGAAAGTTGGTTTGTTTAACTTTAATCAAAACAGTGTATAAAAAAGCAAAGACACATCTCAATGCAGAAGAACTTAATAGAATACTTCCCACCTATGCATATTGCATATTTTCAATATTCACACAGTAACATGCCCCTCTTTAACCCGCTGGCATACCTCCATGCCCACATGGAAGTATTTTTCCTTCCAGAGAAGAGGTACTTGTTTGAAACCCTCAGCTTCACAAATTCTTCAACTTCATCTGCACTCACTGAGAGGGAGAGAGAAAAAGGATTTAGAAATGAGGGGATGGACTGCAAACCTGCAAGAAAAAAAAATCTTAAACACTGCTAATTGTGCTGTGTGCAGTGTATTTCTTGCCTGCTGTGACTTCAAATGTCTGTAATTTCCCCCAATTCTCTTACAAAATAAGAGTTTTCTCTTTATTGTATTTACTAAGTTTATTGCGTTGCTCCACTGTTTGCTCATACTTTATTTAGACGGGTTTAGACAACAAATAAAACCTAGCGTTACATCCCCACTGGAGGCAAACTGAAAAAAAATACGCGTTATTAAAATAAGCGTACTCGTTGGGAACATTCCCCGCGGACTACCCTTGCTAGGTGTCCATGCTAAAGTACGTTAGCTCGCTTAATTAACGTGAGGTTTTTGTGGTGACTGAACTCACGTTTGTATGGGAAGTCCACGGGATTGCATTTGTCATAAGTGGTGCTCGTGTACGCGTGATCGTTGATTTCCATGGTTCCCTTAGTTCCCGTTCTTCGGTTTGGCCTCGGTGTGGAGTGCCCTTCGTGAGAAAGAGACTGCTCGTTCCTCCTTCAGAAGCGCCCTATCTTCTTCTTCGCTTGTTTTCAACAGAGCCCCGACGTGACCCTTAAACTGGGGGGTCGCCAACGACACCGATCGGCTCGCTGTCGCCCCCTCGTGCTGCGGAGGTGTCGCGCGTGAGGTGAATCCAGTGCACTTACTTCAGATATGTTTATCGCCCCGTACTCTCGGTCAGCATCGTTTTCTGATTTATTCATGTTCCTTGTATTTCTAGTTTATGTTGGCGGTGGATTTTTCTTTTTTTCACAGTTTTTATACAAAAAGGGCGTTTTTATAGTCTTTGATCCAACAAATTATTTATTATAGTTATAATAAATATAGTTAGTTAGTGATAGTTATAGTTATAGTTATAGTTATTTCGGGGTCCTGGGTTTTGCAGATGTACCTCGCCTCGCTGGGTGTGATTGAAAGCAACGTGAGGGTGTGGCGGTGTGTCTATAAAACGAAACGATCAGAAGGAAGCAATGGCGGCGGCTTATTGCTCTGGTGAGTAACTTTTTATCCATATCGCTCAATAATCAATGATTTGTGGTGATTATATGCAGTGGCTTGTTACCCAAAGCTTCACCACTTTTATGCCCTTTCAAAAAACCCGATATGTGGTCACTTTATGTTCGCTTATGGAACATCTTTCTATATGAGACATTACAATATTATTATATGTTGCTATTGGACCAAACCGAATGGGATTACTTCACACATCGGGGACAACAACAACAAGTGTGAGCTCTGGATCGGTTGAAGTTAAAGTAGATGAAAAACCTTCTTTACTTTCAGTTTCGTTTATTTTTATGGAGCTCTCTTCGAAGTTCTATTTGGTACTGTTTCTACACAGCGTCTAAAAATAACGAATATCATACGGTAATTCTTGTTTTTTTTAGTGGAATTTTTGTTATTTAGTTACTATTTTTCACTGAACCAATATCCCTACAGAAAATGTCAACATGACGTCACAGCTGAATGTAGGTCATCAGATAGCATCTCTTTAGTTATAAGTGCTCCATTATTGCATTAGAAATAGAAGAGCTCTTTGAATATTTTTTAAGGGCAAACTGGGAAAGACATTTGTTTAATTTGTTTAACACCTTCCTTCTCCCCAGAGACGTTGTAGCTTTTAACAAAACAAGTAAAAACAGCTTTACATCAAACGCTTGACACTTGTTTGTTTACTTTTAGCCATTTATAGTTACATTTTGATTGACTGCACTGGATGGCCACTTTCACCCAGTGGGGGGTTTTGAATGCATTTGTTCTCCTCTAGATTCGGGGGAAGAATACTCTTCTGGAGAAAGTGGAGAGTCGGACAGTGACGGAAGCTCAGATGAAAAAACAGATTTTCAGGTTTGTTGGGGGGTTGCCATCTTTTTCATAAATACACCTTAAAGCCACGAGAATAGCTCAGTAAACCCACCTGACACATGTTCAGCTGCTGATGAGAGTTTACTGCCACAGCGATCAAATGCATGACACAAGTATGCATTCCTCGCCGGTGACGGGAGCAATCCTCCACACTCCCATATTTCAGCTTCACGGGAAAAAGCCCTGCAAGTTTTACAACGGCCGCGGCTGCAAAGACGGCGACAGGTGCTCTTACTTGCACTTCTGCAAGTACGCCCTCACCGGAGGTTGTCGCCGCGGGTCACAGTGTAAGCTGAACCACCCCGGGGCTGCAAGAGAGTCCTCCTCGGACCGATCGACGTCTGCTGGTGAGGGACAACGGTTCGACCTTTTAATCGATGGAAATTAAAAGCCAATATCATTCCTCGTTCTCTTGTGTTTTTGTTTTTTTTATCCAAACCAGCGCCAAAGCTCACCAATGGCCGGTGCTTCCAATGGCAGCTCAACGACGGAAACGGCTGGTTGGATGTTGCTAATGATCACATCCTCGAGGCCCAGTACTCGCTGCCGCACACCCAGAGCATCAAAATCTTCAACACCTCTTACGGGTGAGAGACGCACGTGAACCCACGCTTGACGGTGCGCGGCCCCCCTCCCTGCTCCCTCTCTCCCTCACCCACCCTCCCTCCCTCTCTCTCTCTCTGCAGGGCAGTGAGCATCGACTTCAACAGGATGAGGGTGTCAGGAAAGAGCCTTCGGGTGAGACGCTTGGACGACGGGCGCACGGTGTGGCTCTGGTACTGCACTCTGGGTCGGAAGTGGATCAAGTACGGAGACGAGGTAGACGGGGGACCACGCGTGTTGACCGTTCTATTAATGTGGTAATGTTCTAATGTAGCTTTTCGTTGTTGTTGTTTTTTTATTTCCCGTGGAGGATCCAAAGGGCGTCCCCGGTCCGGTGAAGAACTCCGACATAGAGAAAAAGTTCCAGAGCAACCCGGCGAGCTCGTACACCTTCGCCATCGGTGCCGATACCTTCGAGATCAAGTTCGCAGGTGAGGAACGCTCGCTTTAAGCTTTCCCAGAATGCTTCGTGTACTTTGCGCACGTGCGGCCACCGTTTTTCCTTTCCGTCCGTCGCGGTTTAGAAATGCGACAGGTGACGGCAGCGAGAAAGAGGAAAGTCGCACGCCGACCGCAGTACCGCCAGCAGCCGGCAGGGTGAGTCCGTCGTCTGTCGGGCGAGGTAGACAGAAAGTAAACACACGTGGGCTTTTTTTGTGTTTTTTTTCCCGCCCGAGTGAATCGCAGATTTCGGACGTTGTCTGCTTTGCAGAGTTCCTCAGGTGGCCTCGGCCCTCCAGAATCTCGCCCTGGACACGGAGCCCCGGTGGCAGTTCGAGGGAGACCGGGGAGCGTGGCACGACTTCAAGCGCAGGGTGAGTTCTCCGTCCCTCCGCCGAGCGAACGTTTTGTTTTTGGGACTCGTGACTCGTGACGGCTTCCCGCAGAGCGGCACTCCGAACGAATGCTCCGTGACCAGTGACGAGATCGAGAGGAAGTTCACGCAGAACCCCGACGACGGCATGACCTTCAAAGTGGGCCGCTACTCCTACAAGCTGGACTTTCAAGGTTTATGTCTAGTTTACAAGCGGTTGTTAATTCGAGGGTGTAAGGGGTGCAGGTGGCGATGAATGCATGGTCCTGCGTAACATTTGCAAAGCAAAGTCAAGCAGCATCCTGAAACCTCTTTGGTTGTTTTTTGCAGCGATGATCCAGACTAACCTCAAGAACAAGAACGAGCGCAGGATCCGGCGTGTGCTGGTGTGAACGCTTCTCAAGAAGAAAGTCGTGCAAAACAATCATCATCTTACGATCAATCTTCAGTTTGTGTTTGAGGAATACTTGTACTGTTGTTTCTACAATGGCATTTTTATGGAATAGTTTGTATTGTGTTTATATTATCAAAATGTAATAAAAATAATATATATGTATATGAGAGGAGATGATGCTACAGTGAAGGTTGTTTTCTGTCTTGAACACAGTTGCCAAGAGACACAAAAGTTTACCAACCTTCACCGAAATTACATTACGTGTCATTTAGCTTTTATCCAAAGCGACTTACAATAAGTGCATTTCAACCATAGGGTACAAACACAGGAGAACAAGAAACAAGAAAGTTTCCTCAAATAAGCCAATTTACAATTTGCTATAGATGAGTGACGTTACAAGTACAATTTAAGTGCTACAATTTGTTAGTCTTTAGTCGAGGTAGAGTCTGAAGAGGTGTGTCTTTAGTTTACGGTGGAAGATATGAAGGCTCTCTTGGGCCTGGTGTCCTCAGAGAGCTCGTTCCACCATTTCGGCGCAAGGACAGCAAAGAGTCGAGATCTAGTCGAGTGTTTTGCTCTCAGTGAGGGAGGGACGAGTAGTTTTGCAGATGCAGAGCGGAGAGTGCGGGTCGGGATGTCTGGTTTGACCGTGTCCTGGATGTAAGCTGGACCCGATCCATTCACAGAAATGCTGCTTGAGACAAACCTGCACACAATTCTTATTAAAAGAATAAAAGAAAAAGAGTGTGCAAAGCAAAATATGGCAAAAATCTAAAATATAAACATTTTCTGTTTAACACATAATTTATAGTTTTTGATGTCTTCAATTTTAATTTGCAAGTAGAAAAATAAAGAAAATCAAAACCAATAATGAGAAATTGTGTCTAAACCTTTGTTTATACATGTGACCTTAGAGAGCATTAGACCTTCAGGGTTCGCCACATTTACAAGCCACGCCTTGCTTCCCTGAAACGAAAGTGAAACGAGAGCTTCTCTTAAAAATGAAACTAGTGGGAGTTTAAATGGAGCTGTACCTTTTTTTTAATGCAGCGGGTTTTACGCTCCCCTCACCTATTATAAGCTAATCATTGGGCTGAAGTGTACTTCTCCCCAGCATGGTGAGTCCACTTCACAGAACCCCTTCGGACTGAATCCCAGTCGTGTGTTCAGCCTTTGTGTTCTTTGCCTGCAGGAACGCGAGGAGCAGACGGGCCGTCGGCAGGAGACTCCAGGTCTTTCTGATACTTTAGTTCCTGTTATTAGAATGACTTTGTTTCATTTGTATGTGTGCCACACAACAAATTCATACGTAAATATAAAATTGCCAAATACTGTTCCATATTCTGCTTCACAGTCAATGGGAAACATTATGAGTGGCAGCTGTCAGATGGACATCAGTGGCTGCCGATTGACCACGACCACGTGATCGAGACCCACTACTGCCAACCTGGAGCTAAAGGAATCACCATCAACTTCATCCACACGTCAGTGCTGCTGCTGAAGAGAAAAGGGGGAATTTAACTTTTGATTGAAAGTTTGTCTCGAGGTTCAGGTGTTTTATTTTGAAAGCAAACACCAAGGAAATGGGATACACGTTTTAAACCAGAGTGGATTTTAGACTAACAGTAAAGCACCACACTGATGAAATAGTCGGACAGATGTGTTTGTGTTTTGGTGCAAACCAAAGGTCACATTTAAAGGAGTGTAATCAAAGTTAACGGTCGCGCGTGCGTCTCCACAGGAAGGTCTTCATAGACTTCGATACGCTGCAGACTCAAACCGCCGGTCTGAGGGTCCAGAGGCTGAGCCTCCTCCCCCGGGGCCACACCGAGGACGTGGGCTGGTACTTCAGAGATGACCAGCTGTGGCGTGAATACGGATCCCGGCAGGCGAGGAACAACCTCCAACGTCGACCCTGAATGTCTCTCGCGTTTTCACGCCCAGAATGACCTTCCTCCTCCTCCTCCTCAGACTTCCAGCAGGCCGCCGTCGATCAGCAGCGGGGAGATCGAGCGCCAGTTCGCTCTGAACCCTCGAGGAACCGTCAGCTTCACAGTGGGCTCGGCGGGCTACTCTCTCGACTTCTCAGGTGTGTGTGTGTGTGTGTGTGTGTGAGACGCGTCGCTTTTTGATGAATGTGTCGCCCTGAATCCAAGTGATGGTGTTTTTTTTGTTGTTTTTTAACTCTGCAGCCATGGCACAAACAAACCGCATCACGGGCCTGCGCAGGAATGTACGCAGACGTCCGAAGTTCCCCTCCAACGCAGAGAGGTGAGACTTTCCATCTGCAGGAGGCTTGACTCAGTCCAGAAGGTTCATTCGGGCCATAATTATGAATGGGTATTTTTTTCCTTGCAGCTTTGACTCCACCTCAGCTTCCTCCTCCCAGCCCACTGATGGAGGCTACACGTGGGAGTTCATGGGCGATGAGGGGAAATGGACAAAATACGAAGCAAACGTAAGGGCATTTTGTCCTAGTGAATGACCTCACGGGGCTCATCCGTGGGGGTCAAAGAGAAACTCTGTACTTTGTGCATTGCTGCAGATGTGTACGTTGGACAGCGGCGCCATCGAGAGACAATACCAGCTGAACCCAGAAGGCCAGCTGCACTTCAACACCGAGAGACACTCGTACACGCTGGACTTTGCAAGTAAGGAAACGCGCACAGCCGCGAAGCCGCTCCTCCGCTCAAAACCAAACGGCTGCGTTTTAAACTCTGATGGCTGATTGCAGGAATGCGTCAAGTCAACGACACCTTGGGGACGGCGAGGGCGGCGAGGAGGACTGCCGACTGCGGGGGTCAACGGAGCGGCAGGTCAAAGAGCTCGCCGCGAAGGATCATTGAAAACCCAAAAATAAATCCCGTGATGAAAAACCCCATCTGCAAGGAAATTTACATTTCGACTCATTTATTTTTTTTATCCTGATCTTCGGTTCCAGCACACCGCCACGATGGCAGTTCCAAGACATCGGTGGAGTTTGGAGAGATTATTCCAAAGGAAGCAACATTTCCAGCCAGGACCTCGAGCTCCAGTACCAACAGAACCCATCCGGCAGCGTGAACTTCACCACAAGGAACTTCCGCTATGAGCTCAACTTCTCAGGTGAGCAGCAAACAGCTACAGTTGTGCTCAAAGTAAAAAAATCATGTTTGTATACCTGTTCAGATTTACACAGAATGGCTCTTTTGCAGCCATGAGTCAGAAGAACTTGTTCACAAGCACCACCAGATCAGTGCGACGACTTACCCAGTGACTGTGGGAGGTCGGAGGTCAACGTCGACCCTCACACCGGCCTGGATGTCTCTCAAAACTGGGGCCAGTACCGTTTCTCACAAGCTCCCTCGTCTCTTTTTCTTTTTGATTGACCTCATGCAGTTTTATTTGACACACGTAATTATTTTACTGCACTTTGTGTGCCAAACTGTTTTCCCCGTAGCAGTGGGGTCCATGGCGTCGGTGATATTTAATCATAAGGAGTAGGCTGGGTGTTAATATAGACAGTGGCCGACATTTAAATCTTTAGACAAATCTGCAGTCGCCGAGTGGAATTGTGGGTAATGTAGTCATCTGGTTTAGACAAAGGAGAGGAATGCATGCGGCTAACTAGGATGAAGACTCTGGTTTTGCACCTTTAACTACAATACCTCATTTTAAAATGTCACTATGTCCAACTGAGCGAGTCCTGAAGACGAGATGTTTACCAATGTTTCAGAAATCCTATTTTAATGCATCTTAGAATGTTGCTTGTAACGTTTCCCATTTGACAAGATACCACTTAACTTAAAACCAACGGGACGTTAACTTTGAGGTTTCATTTAATGAACTGTGCACGTTAAAATGTTCACTCACACTGCCATGTAATCATTTATTTGCTTGATTAAAGTGACATACTCTGACGTTGTGTACTTTCCTTTGATATGTACAGGTTTTCAGTGATCGACTCAACACATAAAACACGGGGCCACACTACACGTATGCTGACAGTGGGGGTACAAACAATCTCGTAGAAGAATAAGCTCTAGTTTTCCGCAAGATGTGCGAATCGCGCTGCACGGATCACATCCGCTTTGTGATGAGGTCCAAACGGCTCATTTGATCCGCACATCCAGGTAAAAAAAAGTCTGCGTTAATGTTCGGCGGTTTAGAAAATCTGTAACTACCGTTGAGATGAAGTAAAAGGACACATCGATGCCGCACCCTTAACCCCGAGGGAGGATTATTGCACACAACTCATCAAAGGCCTCGTAACCGTTATCCTGAGGACATCAAAAATAAAATAAAATCCAAGGCCCTCAAGGAGAAATCCATCTTTAAATACCGGTAACTATATTTACACTTCATAATCATGTCTCCAGCACACAGCTGAAAAGGGCTGGCATCAAAATATATTGTGTTAATCTTCATCATTTCACAAATTGGTCAACAGAAATGGTGCCAGGGAGCTTTTTCAGAATTTTTTTTTAAATAAATGTGAAAAATTCAGTTGTATGTGAAGTTAAAACTGTGTGGAATCACTTTTGGAAAAAAGATGCTAAAAATGGTAAGTTTAGATCTTTTGTGGTCAAGTACACTAACACGCAATAAATCTGTGAAGTTAATGCCGGACAGCTGATTAAAAGGGGAAATATTATCCCTGGAGTAACAGATGGGATGTCTGGTCCTACACTTGCACCCCTGTAAGGCACGTGCTCCTCGTCAGGAGGCCACTGCTGTAATAACTACTTCACAAACCCTGTTCCACTGTAAGACACTGATTCAAAACGCATTCACAGAACTCCACACAACGATTATTAAGTTTCCCAAAAAAAAAAAATGAAATGCTCGTCAACGCAGTTTGATCAGACGTAAATAAATCTTCCCTTTTTACACGTTTGCTTTGATGTAAAAAATAAAGCAAAAAAAAAAGTGCAACCGTAGCAGCTTCAGAACCTGACGATACGGCAATGAAAAGATTTAAAAAAAAAAAAAAAAAAAAAGACAACCAGATTTGCAGAAATGGAAGTTTTCTGGTGCTGTGAAACCACGGCGACTGACTGCAGCCCTCTTTAGAAGATATCCCCCACTGAGGAGCCTCCTGGATGCAGATCAGAGGCCTGTCACTGCTACACTTCAAGCTACCTTCTCAAAGGGATTAGACCTTTTTTAAGCCAACTCTCTGATCCCTTTAGACATGCAGCAAATCCTAAAAAAAAAAAGTCTGGAGAGGTCGTACAGATACAGAAGCCTCAAACTGGGCAGGTGTGCAGCCCATTTGACCCCTAACCCCGCCCCCCCCTATTGTGAGGGGCGATTCTGATGCAACTGGTTCAGGAAGAGAAATGCAATCGATACCTCGTGACATGGACAAAAAACCTTACGGAAAATACAGAGTCGGGATTAATCTCAACCCACAACATCCCCAAGAATGTCAAGTACAAAATAGTAGGAAACCCATCAGCATTCAGAGAACACAGCATAGAACACAGCGTCTCGTAGGAATGGAATTCAGGCGCGGGGTTAATATGCCAGCTGAAAGGAGAGTTTATACCAGGTCATGTTAAAAACACAGACGGACGAGAGCCTCGGAAGGATTGGAAACCTTCACATTCAACCAGTGTCTCGGTCCGGGAGAATTCCAAGGCTCTTCTGCCCTAAAGTCCCTAAAAGAATATACTTAACCCGGAATCTTCATATTTATTTGTTTAAAATACTAGCCAAACAAGTCTTTGAGGTCGTTGTTGACGGATGCGCTGTGTTTAATTCCACTTTGGTTCAGGTTAGCGGGTTGAGAAAAGTTCTGCGGGCTGAAAAAGGGGTTTGCTTGCATCCCGAAGCCGCTGGGGACTCCGCCCATGGCCCCCGCCGCGCCCTGCACCTGAGTCTGAGCGTTCTGGGCCGATTGGAACTGATTTAGCCAAGGGGCGTTGGCGGCGCCGGGTCCGGGTCCGGCCTTCGGACCCATTTGGTTGAGGGTGACTTTGGTCTGGTTGGGGGTAAAAAGGCTGTCCAGGGCCGACAAGTCGGGGGCCTTGTTCGTCTGCCCGATGGGTCCTTGACTCTGCGGGAGGGCTCCGAAGTTCGGGGTGCTGGTGGCGGTGGCCATCCCCCCGTAGAGGCCGGGGCCGGGGGGCCGCATGCCCATAGCGCCCGCCTGGAAGCCCATGGGCGCGTTGAAGCCGTTTGAGACGGGCCCCCCCATCGAGCCCATCATCGGGCCGGCGGAGGGGAAGGTGGAGATGGCGGCGGCGCCGTGCGCCGGAGCTGGTCGTGCCGTGTTGGCCAAGGACATGGCGCTCAGGGACGTCATGCTGTTGAGCAGGCTGCTCGTCAGATCCTTCGTCTGCAACAGAAACCCACGGGTCAGGACGGGAGGGGTCGCGAGCGTGCGTTGGGGTCCACAGCAGGTTACAGGAGTTACCTTTGCGTTGCTGTTGTGGGCTGGTTTGATGCTCTGTGGGGCCAGTGGCTGCTGGTTCCTCAGCTTGGCCGCCTGCTCCTGCTCCTTGGCCAATCGCTGCTTTTCCTTTAAGGTCAGGGACATTTAGGGAGGACCAGGGAGAGAGAGAGAGAGAGGGGGGGGGGGGGGGGGGGATTGAACAAAACTGCACTTAGTGTGTGCTTAATGGACAGCGGTAAGGATTTATGTGAATGAGATTTCTTTCCCTACTCTATTAGGCTGCGGGGCTGGCGCCGCTGCAGAGCCGTTCTCCCTCCCGCTAGCGCCCGCGCTGCCAAAGATATCATCGATCTGAAAGAAGGAAAAATTCCTAAATGTTTATTGCTGCAAAGAGAACGAAACATAACTCTTTAATTTCCAATTTTCTAAGGCCAAAGTTAACGTGTATGTATAAGCTAAAATGACTGTCACACAGCGGACCACTCACCTGTTTGCTGCTGCTGGGTGGGCTCGTGGTCGTCTCCGATTGGCTCCCCGGGTTTGAGATGTTTATACTCCTGTTAGAAGGAACAAAATCAGCAAGTGAAAAGGAATGAGACGATTTCATTTAAGCCCGGTTAGTCATCTATCATATTCATCTGCCTGTTCTTCAATGCTTAGATGTAGCAAATTTGTACAACATTCCCATTAACAAGAAGCATTCTATATTTCGTCACTGAGAGAATCGGGTGATTTAGATGTAACGGCCACCTCTGCTGCTCCTGCATGCTGTGCAGCTGCTCCAACTTGGTCTTGTGCTCAGCCTCCATGCGACTCAGCATGTCCCGAATCACCGCCATAAACGAGTTGAACTGAAACGTGCAATATATCAAATACTGGATGAGAGGGAACCAAACCAAGAGGAATCGCAATGACTAGAACTACGAGTTAATCACAAAACAAAAGAAAGGGTAAGTAAATGTCAAAGTGTGCGTGTCTGCGTCGCACCTGGTTGAGGTTGAGGTTGTTGTCGATACTGAGCGAGACCAGGTGGGGCAGGCTCTTGGTGGCGAGGTGCTCTTTGGGGATGCCCAACTTCTTGTGGCTGAAGGTGCACTTATAGATGCCTAAAGCGGGGAGCGGAGGAGTCAAGTCACCAATCGCCGAGCGTTTGAAAAACACACGCGAGGACGGAGGAGGTCGATTCTTTACCCAGAATGCCCATCAGCACCGCCGGCTCTCTGGAGGGGATCTGCTGCAGGAAGGGCAGGATCTCGTCTATCACGAACCACTTGTCGAGATATTCCAAAATCTTCCCCAGACAGACCAGAGAGTTCACCCGAACCTGCACAGCCACGAAGGGGGACGAGAGGAGGGGGAGGAAAAACTCTCAGTAGGTGAAAGTTAACTGTGTAGCAGTGTGAGAAGGACACGGCCAAAAGAGGAGCCAACTGGAAAGGGGAATTTCTCAGAGGCGGCCGTTACGGAGACTCACGGCGAGGGAAGAGGTCTGCAGGCAGGCCGACTTGACTCGAGGGATCAGGGAGTTCTTCATGGACGGGTAGTCGATCAGGTTGGCAAACGTCGGGATGATGTTCAGGCACAGCTCCTGCTCCGACACGGACCAGATGTTATGAAATCAGACACCTCGGTGTTGCCGGGAGACTTTTGACAACAAGGCGTCCGAAGTCCGTGGAATGCTTAAGATATGCACCAATATGACTTAATTTATTAGTGCGATGTGTACCTGGATCTGTACAGAGGGAGCTTCCAGCGCTCTGTAGACCATAGGAAGCACGCTGTTCTTAATCTCCTCCGAAGGAGTCTTGGTCAACAGCAGGTCCATCTTCTGCAGGAATATCAGCAGGATCTGCACAGCACAGGGGGTCCAGTTAGAGACACAAGAGACAAAGGCGCACGGTTGAATTAGTAAGGAGGAGGTTAACGGAGACTGTGCTTTTGGGGGCGGCTTTAGTGCAGCTTTTAGCACTAAGAGACAACGCACAGGCTGGCTGACATTCACAGCAGAGACCACTCACCATATTACTAGCCTGACGAAGCATGGAGAGAAAAAGACAAGAGTTGATGAAGAGACAGACCAAACCCAAACAGAGCAGTAGTCCCATTTAACGGATTCATCGCACTTTCAAACCTCAAACAAATGTCAAGAGGACAAAAACAGCATGCAAAAGATGCAAAGATGGGAATCACACTTGACTACATGTGTGCATTGCTGGCTTACATGCTTACACCAGAAGAGTACTGTTGAGCAGCTGAACGTCAAGTCTTGTTTCAGTCGCGTAATCGTGTGTGTGTGTGTGTGTGTGTGTGCGTGTGTGTGTACCTGAACAGGCTCCTGCTGCTTGAAAACGGGCGTGAGGTCAGGCATGATGAGACGAACGTACTCCTCCTTCGTGCACTCCTCTGCGATCAGCAGCACGTTGGGCAGCACGAAGGGCACCATGTCCGGGTTGACGAACTCGGAGGTCAGCGCCGGCAAGATACGATACACCACCACTCTCTGAGAGAAAGGCAAAGAGAACCCTTCAGTTTCAGAAGCCACGGAGGAAGAAAAGAAATGAGGGTTACCCACCTCATCTCATTCTAATGCAAGATGAACAATCAACTACCTTGGGCAGCTTGGGCAGCACTTTGGGGAGGCTTTTGTAGAACTGGGACTTCTGTAGGTTGTCCCTCTGGAAGAGGGAGTCAAAGTACTGCAGGGTCACAGCGCCCACGTCATCAAAGAACGGAATCTGGAAAACAAAACAAAAAAAAGAAGAAACTCTCTCCTCAAAGACCATGAAAAGAAACCCTCGCTCACATCTTTGCGCGTGTTGTGGCGAGCCAAACCTTGGTCATCTGGTCCGCGTCCGGTCGGACGTTGGGTGTGATGCTCAGCAGCATTTTGACGTGCTCCCTGACCTCCTCTGGGATCTTGTTCAAGACCGTTGGACTTATGCTGCTCAGCTAGTTGAAATCGGAAGCAGGGGACAGAGAAGACAAAAATAAAGTGACACACTCCTTGAGATCTTCTTAGAATAAAAATAATAAAATAAAATAAAATGTGTGGAAAGAAATAAAACAGCGTGTCCCTCTATTATCGTACAAATTACATCATTGTATTGAAGAGATTTCTGACCCTGTCGTTCGTCATGCGCGGCATGACTCCACCCACCTGGTCCAGCTGCCTGCTGAAGCTCTTGAATATGTCGTGCTTGTTGACTTGGAAAACAGGCTTGCCCTCGTTGAAGACGGCATGCACGACCACGCCCAGCGAGTACATGTCGGAGGCGGAGTCGCAGCTGACGGACAGGATGTACTCGGGGGCCAGGTACTCGGGGTTGGGGAGGCAGAGCGGAGGGAGGTTGGGCTCCCACTCTTTACATGTGTACTTGGGCTGAAAGGGGATGAGACATGCATGACAATGTAAAGCTACGGCAATACTGCAAGGCATTATTTTGGTAGAGCGCAGCGACGGCGGCGAGTTTGGGTCTCAGTGAAGTAGGCAAACGTCCGCCGACACACCTCGGCATCCGAGGGGTTGATGGTGGAGATGCTGAAGTCGAAGCCCATGATCTTCCACGCTCCGCTCTTGTTGAGGATGACGTTCTCTGGACACAAGTTGCCGTGGACCATTTTCACCCCACCGTGGAGGAAGGACAAACCCTCAGAGATCTGAAGGCGTAGAAAACAAAAAGAAAATGTTGTTTTTGGTATGAAAATGTGTCTGTGATGACAACAGGATTATTTCAAGGTCGCTACAGCAGACATCGCAGGCTTATTCTAGTTCCATCTGCGTAACGCGGTGAGGTCACTTGACCGCTTAAAATTGATCCCTTTCTGAGCTGAGGAGTAAAAAAATGTTTCACAAGAATGCATTTATTTACAAACCAATTGATAATTAAAAAAAAAAACAACACTGAGCAGCAGCCCTACATCGAACAAGCTGGACTCTTACCTGTAGCAGGCCGTACTTGGTCTCCACATCATAGAGCTTGTACTCCTTGATGTCGTTGGGCATCGGGCAGGGCAGATTCTCCCACTGGCCCAGAACATTGGCCAGACTGGCAAAGACCGGCTCTGTGCAGAACGCCAGGCAGTCTCTGGGGGCAAAATACGGGGATCCCGTCAGTATGATTTCAAACAACTGCTTTTTCACCGAGGCAAATAAAAACAACGTGAGCAGAAAAGCATTTTCAATTTAGCTCTTTCATCGGTGAAAGTTAAAAAGACAAAGTGGTTAAAAAACGGCTCTTAGCGTCGAGGAACATAATTGATTCAGAGCTCAGTCGAGTCTTTTGATCTTGGCATTCTTCTCACATTCGCACAAACAAAAGGTGGACGCACGCATTTGTTATGCAGCGCTTCCCCTGAATGTCAAGCCCCTCTTTATGCTGCAGCTCATTCATTCTGCCCTCGATACAAGTGTGTGCGTGGCCGTGTCGGAGCATGTGTGCGCGCGTTGATCACCGTGACTCTTCGAGCGGGTGCTGCACCGTGAGGAGGCGTGGGTGACGCAGTCTGGTCAGCTGTTGCACCCCTTTTTTCAGCGAATCCACGATTTGGTCCTTCTCAAATTTCTGATACTTATCGATCGTCTTCTTATCAAACACAAACACCGCTACTTCCTGGAGGGACAGAGACAAACAACGAGGCGATGACAATAGCTTCACCAAGCCGCTACTCCTGTTGAAGTCAGTAACGGCACGAGGCACGTCCATTTAGACTGTTATGAATTGTTGTCCGGTCGGTGGGAAGACATTAAGCCACAAACCTGTTTGGTGGACTTCTTGGTGCCATTGTAGATCCTCCAGCACAAGCCAGGACCCCCGCTGGCAATATGTCGTCCAACCTCAAACTCCCGCGTCACCGGGTTGCCCATGACGGCGCTGGTGACATCTGCCGTCACCTTGGTGACGGTGCTTTTCAGCTTGTTCAGCATAGACTCCATGTTCACGCCTGACCCAGCAGCTGGAGGGAGAGAGAGGTGGATCACAGGTCACGGCTCACGGAGAAATGCCGTTTTTTAACCGGACAGTCGAGACAGTGGTGGCATCTTGCGATCGCCATAAGAGGTGGGTGTCCCAAGTCCTTTAAAAGTTCCTTTCTACATGTAACTGCTTGACGATTTACACATCAAAGTCCCCACCGGAGTCCTGCCTGTGCTGGCTGAGGAGAACACGCACCATGACAGCCCGGACTTTCCCCAAAATAAAGCATGACTAGGAGCAGCCTCAGCCCCACCACATTACTGACACACTGTGCATACTTTAGAGCTACTCGAGCAGGTCAGGAAACAGGAAGTCGGACTAAAGAGTGTGGTTGACTGCTATAAAGCCAATTGTTTTTTCTGATGATGGTTTCTTGGGGATTTTATAAGTCTTCAGTGGACTTTTAACACTGTGATGTTTATTTCACTGCAACAAGAATACAATAGATTCACATCTTACATTATCCATAATGAATTCCTAAGAGTGTCTGGCATTAAAAAAAAAACATTTTAAAGATGAGTGTTAAATGGATCCAAGCAACCTCAATTTAAATCAGAATTTAAAGGCTGTTGCCAAATCCTCCCTCTGGCCAACAGCCCGTCCTCTAGTCACTGATGCTTCCTCAGCCAACATCGACTGCGCAGAGAAATGAAGTGTATTGATGCCTACAGCTCAGTCTGACCACGTCTGCTTCATTAATGTTTAAGCGCGTGGATTCCTCTTAGTAAGTCATTTGGTCCATCGGCCACAACAACTCGGTCTACACGAGCCGTACCTGCGATACAGCCAGATTCATTTCAGAAAGTGGGACTGAAGCTTTTGTCTGAAACAGGTTGATCGATCTCCTTCCCAGGAGGTTTACCGACGTGGCGTCGTTTTTTTTTTTTTTTTTACGCTGGCAGAAGCCACGAACCCACAACCACCTGTCGACCCTGTCGGGCGCTTATTAAGTACGTCGACGAACGGAAGTGAACTGAAATTAGCCGTCGAGACCAAAACGTCGCCAAAAATCACCTCCACACAGCTGGCAAACCCCAGCCCAGTCGTTAGCTAGCGTTAGCTGACGTTAGGTAGCCGCCGGAACGGGAGACACACAAACATTGCTTTGATTCGACAGGCTGGTCGAATGAAGCCAAGGCAGACATCGTAACTGTGGGTGTGAAGCATTTAAATGTCGTGCCCGTAGCTTGACGTGACTGGCGCGTTGGATTGAGGAATAGCTTAGCGTTAGCGTAGTTAATCGGCTCGTTCATCCTGTGCGCCCGCACGTCAGAACTAGCACAGCGCCGTGCCGCTTGCGTAAGCGTCAAACAGTCCTTCTTTTAAACTCGTATTTGAAGGGTGACATCGTGGCTGCAATGTGTTGGCAGTCGGGTTTTTTTTTTTGACACAAACAAATCGCGGTAGCTACCGAACTCAAGCTAACTGACGTTAAACAACAATGCGCCAGCAGACAGCGGCGTCACTCAGACACCCTGCGGCTACATACCTTGATATAAAGAGGGCTCTCCCTGATATTTCTTATTCTTCACGGACTCTCAGCTGTGCCGCTGTCAGTAATGGCTGAGGGACACAGACCCCATGTCTTCCAGAGGCATACGATATGCTAGCGCGTTAGCTCTGTGCGCCAGCGAACGAACAACCCTACTTCCGGGTTGTCAGGTGGGTTTGACGTCATCTGACGCTGCGCTGGTTCGCAAATACTCTGCTGGTATCTTCAGGCAGTCTAATAAACAATGAGGGACATTGACGACAAATCCCATATTGTTGTATAAACACATAGACTGCTATTTTTTACTACAATATCGTGAGGACATAAATAGTCCTACTGCGCACCATTTTTCAATTACCTATAAAAAAAAAATCAGGGTAGCCCAAGAAATGTCAGTCACATCACTTGTAGTTTGGTGAGTGACATAGAAAACAAATCACCGTCATTCGTAGTTAGTCATTAATGTTCATTTGTTCTGGAATATCTCGTTTTGACGGTCTTGTGTTAGCAGACCTCCTATAACTTTAAGAAACACAAGAAAGAGATCAGTTCAACTTTTATTAGACCCTTTGTTACAAAACAAAATAACGCTGTTTCAGCGTCATAAAGTGCAATCTAACACAATTTCAGTGTATGTAGAGATCAAAAAAGGCAGACTGAAATGAGATTTTCCTGAAAATGACTTGAAAATCCAACTCAGCCATCATATTAGTCTAAAATAATATTAAGTCATTATTTAGCGTACAATTTAGAAAGACACTTCCTTCTCAAATACAAAATTCCCACAATTAATGTAAGGCATTTGATCAATATGCTGGCACTAAAACAATGCTTAAAACCCATGTAAATTAAACTGAGCTTCATTATCGTACCCTTTCTGCTTAAATTTCATGTTTGTAAAAAAAATGTAAAATCTCCACAGAATGCTCCATCTTCATTGCTAACAAAAACAAGTCAAGTGTTTTACTTATTTAGCATAATTTTTTCCTTAACCACATTAAAGCAACCCAACAAAAATAATAGTTATAATAGTGTTAGTGTTCATTTGACAGTAGCATTATAGCCAATATTTTTTTCAAACACAGCATCCATCCCTGGACCAGGAAACGCACCGATCACTAGCGCAGCTTCCCACCGATTGCAGCTTCAAAACAACTGGCTGATTAATGCGGCCCGATCAAAGTCAAGAGCATTTCTTCTTCAGAGATTCCTTTTAAGGTAATTTTCTTCTTGGCACATGGTATTCTACAGTAAAGCCAGTAAAACATAGAGTGCTAAAGCAAACGCCCTCTTTAAACATTATTCATCTTTACAACGTAATCAGTGTCAATGTACAGTTGAAAAGTGTTTCTTCACTTAAAGCAAATGGATTTCACAGCTCGACCGCCATCCAGGCACCTGATATATATGAGCTGATAAGTCAAATAGTGCAAAACCGTTCACAACTTGAATTACACCCATGGCTTGGACAAGCAGACTTACTCCTCAAAATGCTTCAAATTGTGAGGATTATTAAAAAGACCCGCTGGCTACGTGAAGTGCACATGTGAAGCCAAACCAGTGGCCCGTCAGTGGGTTTCAGAAGGTGCTGGAGAAATGCTGGAGGAAGACCACAGGGTGGTGCTTTTCAAACTCCTTGAGCAGCCGCCTCCTCTCCTTGACGGCCACGGTTCTGCTGGAGGAAATGTGGTGCAAGAGCTGCTTGAGGCTCTCCAGCATGGTGGCCTCTCGCTGATCCTCGTACTCCTGTGGCGTCGCCTGCTGGCAGAAGGTGAACGCTGCAGCGCAAAGAGGGAACGGGGACGTTAGTGTTTTGACTGGAGCGTTAAAAGCGAGGTGGACTCACACAACACAAAGTTCCGTGTATGTATGTATGAGGCGTGTATGTATTAGACTCACTGGCAATTGAGTCAGGGTCCTTTCCCTGCTGCAGAGTCCTTAGTGTTCTCCTCACAGCTTCAATAAGGCATGTGGGAGTCTGAATTCATGACGGCGAGAAAAGAGTAAACAGGAATTGAAAAAATGTTGAGTAACTTGAGAGTCAACGCTGTCCGTTGAAATGTCACGTTATTGACACGTCAATTACAAAAAGTGTACCTTGAAAAGCTCCGTGCAATGGTCCATGAGGAAGAGCACCAGCGCTTCGCTCTGGGCTCGAGTCAGCTCATGATTCTGGACGATTGCTCTCTGAAACGCGCGGCAGACCGAGAACCTGTTATCCATCTGAAAAGTAGCCCACCATAAAAAGTCAACGGCAGACACCAACGCGTTGACGACTGATCAAACCTTGGCTGTAATACGACCCGGAAAAAAAAAAAATCAGACAATGTAGATGGGGAGGACCTGTTTCTGAAGACGGCAAGCATCCGGGCGAGCTGCTGTAGCCATGAAGGCCAGAAGTCTGCGGAGCTCGTCTCTCACGCTCGTCTCCAGCAGTCGGAAACACAACTGAGATGCTTTGATGGCCTCCTGCACCTTCCCTTCATCTGGAAGGCAACACGGTGTGTTGAGAGATGGAGGAGGAGCTTCGTAGATGTAAAAACCTTGCAGGCACGGTCGCTCCGACGTTCATCATTTCAATCAAATCTCTCTCCACAAAAACATTGCGAAATCACTGCGAATCGGATCAAGGCTCACCCAGCGAACGTAGAATTGCAGCATGTATGTCCACGTGGCGTCCTGAGAGAAGCGGGCCTTTTTCCTGTCCACTGTAGTACTTGGCGATGGTGTCAAAGAGCAGTCTCTTTTGGCTCGCCGTCTGCTCCGCCCGGCCATCCGCTGAAAAGGCACCGACGACTTTATGGCTGAGCTGTTCCCCAGCGACCACGATCAGCTGGTCGGGAAAGAGCTCTAAGCAGTCCGCGGCCGCCGCCAGCCAGCCATCCAGCCTGAAAAAAACACAGAGATGAAAGGAACAAGTTGTCTACTGACTGTGGAGGAGTCGGCAATGCGCGGACAAACGCTGCCAACGTAACATAACCGCACAAGCGCAGTAATCACGAGGGATGTTCTCAGCAGCTTGTTTATTCAGAGCACTGACTTGGGCAGATTGAGGGTGTCGGGCAGCTCCCTCTCCAGGCATGTGTTGGAGATAACCAGGTCCTGGGTGGCCAGAGGAGCTCTGCAGGTCCGGAGGTGAACCCTGGCGGGAGAGGTCAGGATGCAGTCCAGCATGGGCAACTCCACAATGTGCAGCAGCTGCAGCAGAGTCTGCTGCTTCCAAATCTCATCCACCACTGGGGAAGAAGAAAAAGAGCAGGAGAGAGGAATGAACATCCATCACCATGAACTGTCATGCACCGTGGTTTCCCAGCACACTGGCAGACTCGCTCGGTCCTACCAGCTTTGGACAGAAAGGCGGGAGCGGTGGGGGCGGCGTGTAAAGCCGGAGACCAGGTTGGACGCAGGTTGATGGTCCTCAGCAGCCTCTCAACCCTCCTGTCTGACGATCCGACGGCTAGGGGATTGGAGATTGTCCTCAGCTCATGCAGCCTCCAGAAACAAAAGGCATCACAGGGATTAATAAGCGCTGTGAAAAATATTTCAGGCATGCGTATTAGTGCTGACAAACAATATTCAATCACTTTAACTTCGGGAAAATGTTTTCACTTATTTTCACGCTCAGGTCAGGTCTAAAAAGGAAGATCCACACCTATATGCCAATGGCAATATTATAACATACATATTTATGCATCACCAACGTGTGCTGTGTATACGAGTGACTTGTTTCAATGCAGTGTTACTTTATTTTGGGACAATGCATCTTCTACACTGAATAAAATTGGTTAAGGCAAAACCAACCTGGAGCTCTTCTTCCTCTTAAGCCCCTGTTCCTCCGGTGGCATGTTTTCCGTGTCACCATCTCCCTCCTTCGTGGCAGAATAGGGTAATGCTTTGTACTCCAGAAAACGGTAAAGGCTGCAGCTGCTGTCCTCAAAGGTCGCTTCCTTGTCCCTGCGAAACAGCTTCGTACCCACCGGTTCGAACACCTTGGCCTCCATCAGAGCCTGGCAGAGTCGAGCGGCTTTGAGGCGCGACACCTCACTCGTGCAAAACACCACATTCTGCATCAAATAACTGAGGACGGCGTCCACGGCGTCCGAGCCCGTGAAACATTCGGCGTGGACGCGCAGATGCCTCCTGCAGCGGCGCACCTCCACCTGGAGCTGCAGGGCCCGGATGATGTTGTGCCACAACTGGGTGGCACCGAAGGGCCCCGAGAAACCTGTCAAGAGAAAAGGAGGAAAAGGGGACGGTCCCGTGGATAGAATGTTATGGTGAACTTCAAATTGGGTCTTTAAACTGGTCTGATTAGCCCATTGTGTCCCACATGCCTTCAAAGGGCAAAAATACAATGTATTCATGTAATAAACATAAACCGTGCATGAAGTGCAAATACTGCAAAATGGAAAATAAAGGCACACACAACTTCGAATATATATAAAATGGAAGTGGACCAATACAACAGTATTGTTGTAACTGATGCAGTAAAATGCAGCGTGCACATCATTTATTTGAAAGAACAAACCCCAAAATAACGTAGTCAACGATGTGATGCACTTTGAAAAGGGGCGGGGGATTAGCCAACGAATTATTAAATATAATACTTTACCCACTGCAGATCATTTTACCCTTTTGAACGGAACACATTGAAAAAGACCCCCAAATTCTAAAAAAAATTAAAATATAACGACGAGGGACGCTGCCGTTATCGGTCAATTCTAGACGCCTTAACATTTAACCTAAGCCTATTTATACAAAAGGTACATTAGAGAACTTTAATTTGTTCAGCGTCTATACTCGGATCTTACCATTTTGAATATTCTCACGAAAACTTCTGGTCTGACTGTTCAACCTTCTGAAACGAGGAGTTAAATCAACCGCCATTACGAGGCTTCCGTATGACGTCAGCAATATCTTCTTCTTCACAATATGACGGCATGATGCTCTCTGCTGCCCTCTAGAGGCGACAAGCAATACTTCGAGCCGGTTCAAATACATAACTCAAATGAAAAGAAAAGAATAAAAACAGTATTCAACAAAGAATAGAGAATTACGGAGTTGGTATTATTGTTGTATTTCATCTGCTACGGGAAAATAATGTTGCACGGGTGTGTAGGACACAACGTGATAAGAAGCACACGACACTGAGCGACATCCAAGGACCATCAATCAGGACCGTGCGCGACTCCAATCCCATTTTCCCAACACTCGTTGGAAACACATGAGGGTTGAAGAGAAAAACCACACTAAGAGGCACTTAATCACTATTTCAAGCGGAAAATGATCAGTGTTTTGTGAATGTCCAGAGGGGGAATTAGATCAACATTGGAATCTTGTTCAAAATGTATATAAACTCCAATAAAATGAGTGACATGTTGGTTATATGAAACTTTTGCTTTAGTATTTGCGTGAGATTTTTGCTTCAGTTTTCTTACAATTGAGTTTCCTGTTGTCCATGTTATGGTTTTACATGTTGTCCGGTGAAATGTGCTATGGCCTACAAATGTCCTTCCCTTATCACATAAACGTAGGCACACTATTTATCCAGTTTGTCAAGCCAGTAAGATAACAGAAATGCATACCTCCGTTTAGACAGTGAAGTAAAGAGGCTCTACTTACAAGTCACAACTTCAGCAGAGACCAAAAGCACAGTAAGAGGATCTTTAATCACCATCTTAAAGTTCTATTAGAAAGAATATTACTCAAGATTATGAAGTGTGGAAAGTTCTGTCTTAACATCCATAAAGGGTGCAGATGATCCAATGAAATGTATTCATATAGGAGCTGCACGGTAAGGCCAAAAATCCATGACTGTATTAAGAAATATTGACTGTATCCTGGTATTGCTTTTTCAAGTAAATTCAGTCGGACCTGGTGTTCTGCAGCACGGGGCCCGACACAGATCTGTCCTTGCTCCCTTCCTCTTCGCCAAATACACCTGACTTTTAATATAATTGCCACCTACAGAAGTTCTGATGACTCTGCAATCATCGGTCTCATATCCGCCGGTAATGGCTACGAATTAGAGCGCGTGTAGCGACACGAGGCGTGATGTGTGGGTGAGGGCAGTTTAAAGCTTCTGTTACGTTCCCCAGTTTTCTGTGTTTGGTGGCTTTGTGCCTTGACAGGTGATTGATTCCAGGAGCAGCAGGCGTGCGTAACAGCTTCTAATGTTGCCAGAGAACGCCACCCTGGGAATTGTTTTAATCTAAGGGGAGGCACTCAGGTTAGTCAAATGAGGCAGAGACTCAATTTAAAAGACAAAAATTACATTTTATTAAATTCAATTTACGGTTTGACAACGGTAAAAACCTCACTCCGGGACAAGCAACGGGGGAACCAATCAGGGCTGAGACTTATGATGGACTGTCCAAAGAAAAGGGGACCGAAGGAGCACCACACGTGAAACAAAAAAAAGCAAAGTCCAACAACATGCAAAAACATAACAGGGACACCACCACATGGGACACACCGCAGACTCAGCACCTGAATGGGAGGAGGGGGTGGATGAGAGAAACTGGTTTAAAATAAAACTAAACAGAAAGGAGAAAGAAAATCATATTTAAAAACAAAAACTATACTAATAACACACCGACAAACGGCTTAACAAAAAGAACAAAGGACCCAAGTACGGCCTGTCTCTCATACAGTTAAAATATGTCTTGCCCCAGTTAGGAGGCCCACAGCGAAGCACGCAAAAATTAGCAATGTGGAGAGGCCACAAAAAACCCAAACCGGGTAAACTTAGCCCAAGGCAAAGCAAACAAGGCGAATTCAGCCAAAGGCAAAGCAGCAGTGGCCTCTGGCAGGTTAGCAGGCGTAGTGCTGCTGCTCAATGATCCTTTGCCCTGCAAAGGAAAACAGACATGAAAGCCTTACCACGGCTGGAGGGAGCTAAAGCCCCTGCGCTACACACCACTTTCGGACAATCAGCGTGGGTCGGAGGGACATTGGGTGCATCAGGTGGAGAGGAGCATGCAGCGCTTGAATGAGCACTGGACGGACAATGTGGGAGCGAATACAGCTTCTGTCACCACGCGGAGCAGCACGAAAGAAGCCAGAATGTGCCGCAAACCGTCGCCTCTGGCAAATGAAATGCAGACAGGTGCTCTGAAGCCGCTTTTGTAAAGCATTGCCATGCAGCGATTGGCTGAGATGCAGACGCAGCTGAAAATTATTAGGATCAATCAATGTGTACTGCCACAATCGTTCAATACTTCGTGCTGTACTTTCCACATTCAACTTTCCACGATTCCACGAACTACCCGTATCAAAATACCAGCTTTGTAACCCAACGTGTTCATCCAGTTTGTCTAACAAGGATGTTCCCTGCTATGTAATTACATTTTTTTTTTTTGACAATAGATACACCTTGTACATCACCCATTATGACACTCGTGTCATGCTCAGCACAGACCAACAGCACGGTAAGAGGCTTACAATCACTATTTTAATCTAAACGTGTTTGATTATAAAGAAGATAAAGTGCAACGAAGAAATGTAGTTATTATGTTAATAGTGAGGCTGGTGGACATTTTTACAGTAATCAGTTTAGTTTGTGAACGTTCAGAGAGAGATTTTGTGAAACGTTGAAAGGTTTCACGCCTTCAAAATGTCCTTAAACATTAAAGATGATCCACACAAATGAATTCATATGTATTTAAAACTACAAACAAACCAGTTCGGAAAGGCCTTGGGTCTCTGACTCATACCAACGTATCAGAATTCACTGTGTATATATATGTGTATATATATATATATATATATATATATATATATATACACATGGTATTTAGTGTTTTCCTCATTCTACCGAACCGGAGCATAGAAAGTAACAACTAACCTTGTCTAGAGAGAGAAAGAGTTTGATCGTCCCACAATGGGGAAATTCCCAGGATCGTGGCTGTAAAGTGAACAGTGAGATACTTGGTAAAAAATAAGAGCAGCTGAAAAGAGTAAGTAAAAAATCTAATAATGATAGACCACAGTAACTAAATACACTAGGGCATAAATAAATATATGTAAATTTCTGGAATCGATGACGGGGCACTTTCGGTTGGTCTGCTAGATGAGAGTATGTCACTGGGGTGAAAGACTGCCCTTTTTTCGGATACATTTTGTGTATTTTGAAAGAAACTTTAAAAAATGGAGAAATAAAGCACATCGAAAACACCTTTTGAGATGACAGACAACTCAACACATTGTCCACTCAAATGTTGTGTCTACAATTGCTGCATCTGTTCTGTCTCTGAAGGTGAGCCATGTCCTGTTCAGCCTCCCAGTGGACTCCTCAGCGTCCAATTCTCTTCGGCAGCCTTTTGGCGTTTTGCTTCATCTTCCTTTTCATCTCGTACAAGGCTGACGTCGCCTACCCCGATTTTGGAAAAGTTGGTCAGTTTTGTCCTGCCTTCCTGTGTGCAGAGAGAGCACAGAGCCATGACTCAATCCCCAGCAACTCCACAGAGCTCCTCAATAAAACACATTCAGGTCCGACCGAGAAGCTCCAGGCGGCAGCAGTGGACGCTGAGCCCGACACAGTTGTGCTGGTCTGGATGTGGCCGTTTGGCTTCAAATTTGAACTCAACTGCGACATTTTCAATTTCACAAGATGCCACTTAACAGATGACAAGGAACTTTACCATAAGGCCCACGGGGTGGTCTTCCACCACAGGGATATACATGGAAGTTTAGAAAACATGCCCAAAGGGCCACGCCCCGTTTTTCAGAAATGGGTTTGGTCAAATATGGAGTCGCCCACCAACTCAGGTAAAATCACTGGACTGAATGAGCTTTTCAACTTGACATGCAACTATCGGCGTGATTCAAGTATCCCAGTGCCTTATGGGTATCTGTATCCCGTGACCTCTGCAGAGGAGAGTTTCAAATTGCCAGCAAAGGACAAGTTGGTGTGTTGGATTGTGAGCAACTGGAGCCCAGATTTGAAGAGAGTTCAGTACTACAATGAACTGAAGAAACACGTAACGATTCATGCTTATGGGAGAGCCTTTCAAAAACCTATTGGTGATGAAGACTTTGTAAAAACAATGTCCAGTTGTAAATTCTACCTCTCCTTTGAGAACTCCTTCCACAGAGATTACATCACAGAGAAGTTCTTTAATCCTTTGACTTGGGGAAGTGTTCCGGTAGTTATGGGCCCACCAAGACACATGTATGAGGCCCACGCCCCAGCTGAGTCTTTCATTCATGTCGATGACTTTCCTTCTCCAAAGGAGTTGGCAGAGCGGCTACTTTACCTTGACCAAAATCACACCGAGTACATGCGATTCTTCAACTGGAGAAGCGCGTTTAAAGTTAAAGGCGCTCTGTTTGGAACAGAAATTGCCTGTAAAACATGTAGATACTTACAAAACCACAAGGAGTACCAAGCTTTTAATGATCTGAACACTTGGTACTGGGGCTAAGAGGGTGTGAACGCTTCATTCAAAATATTACACTCTGTATTTAACTTTATTTGTTGCTAATAAAGTGTTCAAATAGGGTCAGAAGTGATAGAAAGGGTGAGTTCTGTTGTTGTGCATGTTGTTCAAAGAATATTCTTTATTTTTTCTAAATTTGATAACATTACATTTTTGTAAGTAACACAAAAGCTCTTTTCAATGTTTTTAATAGTTTATTTGAACTTTTTACATTCTCTGCCATGGTTGCTGTCTTAATCGTACAATGAGGTGGATAGAATTTAGTATAATCTATCATCAAGTCATGTTTTACCAGTTTATTCAAATGGTTGTTTTATCAAGAGTTTTTCACAATGATGATCAACCTGTTTATCATATTGAAAAAAGCGTTTCACTGGTGTGTTTAGGAATGGTTATCGTTTGGGTTTTCTTAAACGGTTCCTGATCATACTTTCTTTTTTTGAAAAGCACAAAATGACGATTGACGACATTAAAGAAATGGTTTGTTAATTGCAAGCCATTTTTTTTCTTCAAATTGAACATAATATTAACTGTTTAAACAATACTGTAAATATTAATAGATAATTAAAACACTTGGCTTCAAACTACAAATTCTAACATTTAACTTCAACCTATGAACACTATATTAATTGTTAACAACGGTTTACAGTACACTTAGTGTTTCTCCTCTGTAAGAGCTGGAAGTGTATATATTAGTTAATAGGAATTTGGCGAATACTAATTTAATTTTAGAATTTTTCTCATTGTGCAGGAACTAAAGATATGTAACATATATTAAAAATAATTTATGTTAGATTGACACTTATTGTTTGTCTCGATTTATTGAAACTTCCAGACAGTAAACATTCCAGTAGTCGGAGACTCGCCCTGACCAGAGCGCAGCGTGGGGCGGCGTGGGGCGGCGTAGGCGAAGCCCAAATCTCAATGTATTTTAGGACTGAAATTATAATGTCACTCATTAACTTCATCAGTGATTGGCTGACTGCTTCTAAGACGCGCATTGGGACCGAGCCCAGCTGAGATCAACGGAAAGGATGTGTAGGAAAAGCATATATTTTGCGCAGATATCGTAATTTACAAATAGTACTGGGTATTTTCCATGTTTCAAAAACACAAATAGACACATATTGAAAACTAGTCAAATGTATTTTTTATATAATTAAAAAAATTCTAATCTTTTTTTTGGGCACAAGGTGGGGCCACGCCCCATTGCCCTTTATGGACCAGCCACCAATGCTTCCAGACTTGAATAATTAGAACGTAGATGGATAGCTAGCTACTGTAGCTACAAAATCGGTAGGCTATCGTTAGCTGCTGTGAGGGTGGATCCATCAGAGTAGAGTAAAAAAAGTATTTCAATTTGCTCAGATACCGAAGGAAGCACCAACATCTGCGCAACGCTCCGGTATGGTAGGTACCGGTCAGTTAGTAACCGGTGTTACACCCCTACTGGTTTTTCCACCTACTGGTTTCACAGATAATTACTGTAAAATGTTTTACAGTACTGCAGAATGTATGACACTGCTAAGATGATTTGAAAACAAAACCCCTTAAAATTGGCAACGTAAAAAGGACTCAAAGAGATTAACTTTAATAAAAGTATATTATTGAAAGGCTAAGTAGTGTCAAACACACTTAACAGTAATCACTTTTTTGAAAAATACAAGTAAATAAAAGTAACATAAAATTGGATTTCTTAAAACAAATGCAAACATATTCAACAACAAAAACCATTCAAAATACTTATATAACTGTTCAAAACAATCGGTGAACACTGAACGCATTCTCAACAATCTACAACCAAGACAAAGGCTGAAACTACATGATTAGGAAAGTGAACACGATTTTAAAAAGTGTTACCTAGGGAGAAAGGAGAGGTAGCACTCTGCATCCTGGTATTCCTTTTTTTCTAATGATAGGTCCTGTGTGGAAATACGCAGTGGCCACATAGAGTACAAGAGTTTTTTTTATCAGCGTGGCCACATAGGGATTGTTTTGACAAGCTAACCGTGCTGTCTTCAGCATCGATAGCGCTCGTACAGGACGCCATTGTGACGTCATAAAAGGTCTTTGTGATCTGGGAGAACTCCCTATAAAACGTCAATCTAACTGATATCGCTCCTCTCATCAAAGAGGAAGCGAGTGAGTGGCGAACTAATCCAGCTGGCTCAAATTAACCTGCGCCAGAGCAGGTTCAAGTTTTCGCATGTGTTGCTTTGGTAATTTAGCCAAACCTGTTTCGGGGGGCCAAAAAGCCTGATCTACGTCATCTTATCCTGAAAATGATCCGGCTGCGGGGCCCGGCCGGTGTTACACCCCTACTGCATTTTCCACCTACTGGTTTCCCTACGCGTGCGTGTTTGTGTTCACTCCACAGCTGCAGACGTGTCCGCCTCAGTTCCCTGATTCGTCACACATTCACAAACATATTGCTGAAAATCTTCAAAACGCATCACAAATCCATTGCAGCGTTTACGATTGTATAAGTGAGCACCACATCACGGCCACGTATGAAAACATTTATATAAAAAAATATATTAAAGGAAAGATCGGCACAACCTGGATTCGAACCCGGGGGATCAAAACTTCAAAGTGAGTACCCTAGGGATCGCTCCAGCAGCTGCCTCGAACGGTATCATTATGAAGTATGGGGCTCGCAATCTGGTTCAGTTTAGATCATTTAAATAATCATGAAAAATTCGTTTTTGTTGTGGGTGTGGTAAACATCAGGCGATGGTCGAAGGAAAACGAAAGCTTTCAGTAAAGCTGAAGCCTCAAGAAGACGTGAGGGTTGCACATGAAAGAAAGCGTTTCCAAGTCACGCCGAAAGATAACCAGTTGTTATACACCCACGACACCAAAAGATTTCTTTCCATGATATTTTAAGTCATCGAACCGAATAGGTTGCGGTCACTAGCTTCTAGTGTGTCTCCGAGCAGCACTGCTAAGAGCAGCCACTAGGTTACTATTTTGATGTTTTGATCCCCCGGGTTCGAATCCAGGTTGTGCCGATCTTTCCTTTAATATATTTTTTTAAATAAATGTTTTCATACGTGGCCGTGATGTGGTGCTCACTTATACAATCGTAAACGCTGCAATGGATTTGTGATGCGTTTTGAAGATTTTCAGCAATATGTTTGTGAATGTGTGACGAATCAGGGAACTGAGGCGGACACGTCTGCAGCTGTGGAGTCAACACAAACACGCACGCGTAGGGAAACCAGTAGGTGGAAAAACCAGTAGGGGTGTAACACCGGCCGGGCCCCGCAGCCGGATCATTTTCAGGATAAGATGACGTAGATCAGGCTTTTTGGCCCCCCGAAACAGGTTTGGCTAAATTACCAAAGCAACACATGCGAAAACTTGAACCTGCTCCGGCGCAGGTTAATTTGAGCCAGCTGGATTAGTTCGCCACTCACTCGCTTCCTCTTTGATGAGAGGAGCGATATCAGTTAGATTAACGTTTTATAGGGAGTTCTCCCAGATCACAAAGACCTTTTATGACGTCACAATGGCGTCCTGTACGAGCGCTATCGATGCTGAAGACAGCGCGGTTAGTTTGTCAAAACAATCCCTATGTGGCCACGCTGATAAAAAAAACTCCTGTACTCTATGTGGCCACTGCATATTTCCACACAGGACCTATCATTAGAAAAAAAGGAATACCAGGATGCAGAGTGCTACCTCTCCTTTCTCCCTAGGTAACACTTTTTAAAATCGTGTTCACTTTCCTAATCATGTAGTTTCAGCCTTTGTCTTGGTTGTAGATTGTTGAGAATGCGTTCAGTGTTCACCGATTGTTTTGAACAGTTATATAAGTATTTTGAATGGTTTTTGTTGTTGAATATGTTTGCATTTGTTTTAAGAAATCCAATTTTATGTTACTTTTATTTACTTGTATTTTTCAAAAAAGTGATTACTGTTAAGTGTGTTTGACACTACTTAGCCTTTCAATAATATACTTTTATTAAAGTTAATCTCTTTGAGTCCTTTTTACGTTGCCAATTTTAAGGGGTTTTGTTTTGAAATCATCTTAGCAGTGTCATACATTCTGCAGTACTGTAAAACATTTTACAGTAATTATCTGTTCATGGGCATCACGGTAGGATATTGCTGTTTCTATACATCACTATACTGTGTGTGTTTTTACAGTAGTATGCCGTTGTTGTAATTTACAGTAGGTATGCTGTAGAATTACAGAAGAATACAGGAAATGTGGCTGCCAGTAGATTACTGTAAATTTATGGGAAAATTCGTTACACATTTAGGGGCTAATACACAAATTGTTTAATACAAATTATTATTACTTTTCTTGTCATGTTGGACTTCATTTCACTCAACCGTCAACCTCATCCCGTCAAATTAAACGAATCCTTACACAACAGGATACATCCTGGTCAGATATGTTATTTTGACACGGGTGACAATCATTCATGGAATGTTCCCTGTTGTGTATTGATTGATTACATTTTTTAAGAATGCATTGATACACCTTATACACCGTCCTCTTGACACTCGTGCCGTAGTCACATATTCTTCTTCTTCACACTCCTCCACCTGAGGCTCAGCAGAGACCAATAGCACAGTAAGAGGCCTACAATCACTATTTTAATCTAAACAGGTTTGATTAAAAAGAAGATAAATTGGAATCAAGAAATTAATCTTTTAATGTTAATGTTGAGGTTGGAAGACATTTTTACAGTGGTACACTTTTTTTGCCTTGTGCAAAGCAGACAATTAAGCTAACATCTCAACTAAAGCAATAATGGCTGATGGATTTCGCAGACCAGACTTGATAATTGGCGGCCTTTTGAACAGGAATATGATATCTTCATAGCAGCGGCGCACTCGACAAGACTGCTAGGACAAAGGCATATATCCTCCTCAATCTCACAGGAGCGGAGGCCAGGTGAAGATGGAGCTGTTATCGTTCCGGCTGAAAATCCAGAGTGCTTGAAACGGAAATTTTGGGTCTGTAACCGTCAACACAACAAAACTAAGGAGAGACACAAGTTCCGTTCACAAAATCAAAAGCAAGCAGAGACTATTGAATCCTACATCAGTGACGTGAGGATCAAAGCTAAAAGTTGTCACTTTGGAGACCTGACAGATGAACTGATTTGTGACAGAATAGTGTGTGGTATCAGAATGTACGAGAAAGGCTTTGCTGCTTGACAGTGAATTAACCATTAACCATGAATGATCCAAGTTATTAAAATCTGCCGCATATATAAAATGATTGAGGAGAGTAATAACGCTCTAGCCCAGCCCCAAACAGCTACCACTGTTGACGCAATTCAGCCAAACTCCAGTCGGTGGCACAACAGGTCAAGAGGTGGCAAATACAGCTCGGCCACAAGTCATTAATGCTGACCACATTTAGTACGTCTTTCAGGCGCTACAGATTCCTCCACATGCCATTTAAGCTTGAGTTCAGCAAACAAGGTGTTCCGGGTGTCAATATGCCAACCCAGCTGCACTGGACAGTCCCCCCTCCACGCCGCATACACCTCAACTGGCTCCAGCAACACCTCAGCGATCCACCAGTGAGCAGCGGAGGCCTGCAGCTCACTCTCCTACCGAGGTCACACTGGGTAACTCACTGTATGCGACGCGCTCAGGTCGCATTTGCAGGCCGAACCCAAAGTATGAACAATAAACATTGAGCTATTACAAGTTGAGGATTAAAAAAAAAAAGCAACCACGACCAGCTTTGTGATATCACACAAAATTGCTAAAACAGTAAGCCATTCTCGGAGGGGGAGAGCGATTGGTGGTGTGGATAATGCACCCAGTGATGTTCAGCTGGAACTCACTGACCTGCAGTGTGATGCGTACTGGCAGAGCATTTTAACTCAGGATCACTGCTGGATTCTTACGCTCTCTCAAGGAGGAGAACTTTCCAAACGTAAGGAGACGTGCTCAGAAGATGTTGGTTCCCTTTGGCTCCTACATATGTGAAAATACATTCTCAGTGATTTTGCAAAATCCAGGTATAGATCCTCTCTCAGTGATGATCATCTGGCAGCTGTGCTTCACATCTCCACCTCAGACATTCAACCTGACTTTGATGCACTTGTGAATGCCCCAACAGAGACTAGATTTCTCTCACTGAACTGAAAAAAATCCAATGAGGTGGTAAGACTAGAAATGCTGGCACGTAAAGGCACCAACTAGCAGTGAACTGGGACACTTTCTTTGGAGGCCTTTTTCTAGAAATCACACTACAATGACAATCGTTATAATATGATGTATCTTGCTTACTATTTGGAGCACCAAGACAATATTGTGGTGTCTTTAAAAAGCTAAGAACATTTTTCCAACAGTAGGCTATATGTAACTCAAACGGTGTTTTGGGATGGATGTGGCTGAAAATGACTCTAATATAATGAGTCACAAATGGTAAAAACGTTTGTTTTGGTGTTTCTGGATGATTTTTGTTTTGCAGAAATGGTTATCCTCCAGGGCTGAATTCAAGCCCAAGTCAGACCTCTAGTGGTGGGTGGGGAAAAGCGTTTCCTTCTGAATTGTAAATTTAGGACCATTTCACACTCACAGAAAGATAAATTGTTTTTTTTTTTTGCTTCATTGGCAAGATCAAAATGTTTCTATTACTGTTTTTGTTTACCATTGAATAAATTACATTTTTTGTAAGGCAACCTTGTGTTTTCATTGCTCATAACTCTTACCAGTCCCACAGGCTTGTCAAAACAATGCTATATACTGCTTTTATATGGAAATATGAGTAATATTATGCAGAATTGAGTTCAGCCTTTGGCTTGGCCCCCCACAATATTTTCAGCATGTTGTTTCCCATGTTTCCCATGTGGCCCCATGGAAAAAATAATTGCCTGGTCTAGCAGCTAGCTTAGCATAGCAGCTAGCTTAGCATAGCGGTGCGTTAAGTAGTCCGTTTGCCACCCACCCCCCTTCAGTTTGACACCAGTAAAATGACAGGCGTTCATTTTGCATTCTTTTGAGGAATGTAAAAAACACAATCCTAGGGATCATGAACTAAACTAACAACGTTTTTTTTTTACTTGATGAACAGGTTTATCATCATTGTGAATCATTTAGCCGCCTGATAAAATTAATAAAACTCTTTCTCTACATCAACACTTCTTGATGAAAAACAAAAAACATTCATGCATTTGCAATGAAGACAGTTAAAAATTAGGACCAGTATTTAGGCCATTTATTTCTTCCAGGGGGGGCAAATGGTTTTGTCACATTAGCAATAAGGACAAAGAACAAGGAGAGGAAAAACAAAAAATATATATATCCCCAAAAAAAGGAAAAAGTACATTATAAAAATGAAGAAAACCACTGAAAATACAACATATTAACCAAAAAAACATAGTACATAACTGTGTACCTCTAGTTGTGTCTACTGATGGACACAACTTTTGAGAAATGCATTTAGTAGTTGATGTTAATGTTTAGTGCCTTTAACTACAGTACCTGATATATATCACCCCACAAAAATAAATACTACAAAAAAGAAGAAAACCATTGGGTTAGTCCATCGCTTCTCTTTGGTCTGGTTTGAGAAAAGCAGATAAACACATTAGGACAAGGGAAAAAATACAACATTGCAACGTTCACACCCTCTCAGCCCCAGTACCAAGTGTTCAGATCATTAAAAGCTTGGTACTCCTTGTGGTTTTGTAAGTATATACATGTTTTGCAGGCAATTTCTCTTCCAAACAGAGATGGGTTAACTTTAAACGTGCTTCTCCAGTTGAAGAATCGCATGTACTCGGTGTGATTTTGGTCAAGGTAAAGTAGCCGCTCTGCCAACTCCTTTGGAGAAGGAAAGTCATCGACATGAATGAAAGACTCAGCTGGGGCGTGGCCCTCATACATGTGTCTTGGCGGGCCCATAACTACCGGAACACTTCCCCAAGTCAAAGGATTAAAGAACTTCTCTGTGATGTAATCTCTGTGGAAGGAGTTCTCAAAGGAGAGGTAGAATTTACAAGCAGAAATTATTTTTACAAAGTCTCATAAACGTGTCTTGGCGGGCCCATAACTATCATAACATAACTGTCCTTTGCTGGCAATTTGAAACTCTCCTCTGCAGAGGTCACGGGATACAGATACCCATAAGGCACTGGGATACTTGAATCACGCCGATAGTTGCATGTCAAGTTGAAAAGCTCATTCAGTCCAGTGATTTTACCTGAGTTGGTGGGCGACTCCATATTTGACCAAACCCATTTCTGAAAAACGGGGCGTGGCCCTTTGGGCATGTTTTCTAAACTTCCATGTATATCCCTGTGGTGGAAGACCACCCCGTGGGCCTTATGGTAAAGTTCCTTGTCATCTGTTAAGTGGCATCTTGTGCAATTAAAAACGTCGCAGTTGAGTTCAAATTTGAAGCCAAACGGCCACATCCAGACCAGCACAACTGTGTCGGGCTCAGCGTCCACTGCTGCCGCCTGGAGCTTCTCGGTCGGACCTGAATGTGTTTTATTGAGGAGCTCTGTGGAGTTGCTGGGGATTGAGTCATGGCTCTGTGCTCTCTCTGCACACAGGAAGGCAGGACAAAACTGACCAACTCTTCCAAAATCGGGGTAGGTGATGTCGGCCTTGTACGAGATGAAAAGGAAGATGAAGCAAAACGCCAAAAGGCTGCCGAAGAGAATTGGACGCTGAGGAGTCCACTGGGAGGCTGAACAGGACATGGCTCACCTTCAGAGACAGAACAGATGCAGCAATTGTAGACACAACATTTGAGTGGACAATGTGTTGAGTTGCCTGTGATTTTGCATTGAAGAAGAACAAGTTGTGTGCGATGTGCTGTGTTTCTCCATTTTTAAAGTTTCTTCCCAAATACACAAAATGTATCCGACAAAACCGCAAACAGTTGTCTTCCACCCCAGTGACATACTTTCATCTAGCAGACCAACTGAGAGTTCCCCGTCATTGATTTTAGAAACGGGTGTGGTCAAATATGGAGTCACACCAAACTCTCATTAGAAACCCTTAATTTTAATGAAATGTTCATTTTCATTTAATTTTTCATTTTAAAAATAAAAATGTACCATCAACTCAAATTTAGATATAACCTTACAAAAGACAAAAATGGGTTAGCCGTTACTTTCTATGTTCTGGTTCAGGAATGCACAAAATACCATATATACATATATGTATGTATACTGTATATATACACACAGTGAATTCTGAGAAATACGTATTGGTATAAGTCAGAGACTCAAGACCTTTGCAAACTGGTTTGTTTTTAGTTTTAAATATATATGAATGCATTTCTTTGGATCATCTGCACTGTTTATGGACATTTAGAAGGCGTAAGAGCTTTCAACTCTTCATAAAATGTCTGATAACTGATCACTGTAAAAATGTTTACTAGCCTCAAAATGAACATAAAAAATATATATTTTTATTACAATTCATCTTGTTTTTAATAGAACATGTTTAGATTAAAATGTATTGAGTGATTGTAATCCTCTTACTGTGCTGTTGGTCTCTGCTGAGCATCAAGTGAAGGAGTATGAAAAAGAAGAAGTGATCCTCTGTTCGACTTACGGCACGAGTGTCAAGAGGAGGGTGTACAAGGTGTTGACGTATGTATTGTCAAAAAATGTAAAGTAACCCTTATACAACGGGGAACATCCTGGTTACACAAACTGGATGAACAAGTTGGGTTAAAAAGCTTCTTTCACACGGGGGACAATAGTTTTTGTGGGATGGAGGAAATTGACGGTAGAAAAAGGAAATTATCTTTAAAGTCCATCATGCTGTACACTTTCGGGCATAATGTATACCGAGGAGTAAAGTGATGAACACGCTCTCATTTGTATCGACGAGCTCGCGCTTTAGCCCCTAAATGAGTAATACTGTACTCTAGTCGGAGTGGGACACCATAAATCCTTCCACAATGTAGTTTTTTTAAATTGTTTTAAAATATTTATGTAAAGCTCCAGTTTTGTAATAAATGTGCCCAGTTACCCAGGGAGACAAGAGGCAGAAAACTACAAAATAAGACAGGAAATAAAACCACACCGTGACATAACACTTATATTGTTAACAATCACAATCACAAGTGTTGGGAAAACTGTTCAAAAATAGTTGAATTAGCACTGTGGTGTGGACCCATATAAACCTATATGAAGGGAAACAAAGAGGACGGCACACGTGTGTTCAGACTGTCATATTAAAACGTATTTGTTTAAAACGTTGAGGATCTAAGAAGGAGATTAAAAAAAATACATGAAATCAGAAACTAAACACGGTGCTAATTTAACTACAGTTGGATACCTAGAACCTTCATACTAATGTAGCGTTATTCCTGACTCTTTATTGAGTTTCATTCGAACTCTTCTTAATACTAAGCAGCAGGTGTCACACCTGTAGGTCAAGTTGGGCTTCTGTCCCGTCTCAATGGTTGTTTTGTGACTTTTGATAATCAACCCTCCTCTCGTTTCAGGTTTGTGGCCCCTCCTCATGTGTTACCAGTCTGATTGTCTTCCCTGATTCCTGATCGTGTCCCCCTGTTCCCACACTTCCCTCATGTGTACTTTTAGTCTGCGTCTCCCCTTGTCCTGTGCCAGTGTGTCATGTCCTTTTGCCGTGCACACCCGCGTCATGCAGAGTCATGCCCAGGTCACAGTTTATTCTCTTGCGGAGGAACCTTGAGATCTCCATAGATGATTGTGAGCCTTTTATAGTTCTACAGCTCCTCACGTTTTGTTTTGTGTCTTCAATAGATTGACTTCTTGTTATTTCCTCGATAAGCGAGAGTTTGGCTTTTTCTTTTGTTTCCTAATCCGCTCAGTTTTGCTGGAGCATTTCTCTCTCTTCGGAGAAGTTTTACGTTTCCAGAGTCGTCCCTGCGGTTTTTGTTGGACAATAAAAACGTCTACTGAACCTTAACTCTGCGTCCGAGTCCTCACCTAGAGTTCCCTGTGACAGCAGGGTTAGTTTTTCTCAACACTTGTTTGTTCAAATGTGTTATGTCCCTTATTACGCTGTAAGGTGTGAATCTGGCTCTTAAAAAAATACTTGCAATGTTAGGTTGGCTAAAGGGAAGGGGTCATGTTTGTTTTAAAACAAATGTATTATAAAACTAGTGCATCACATACATATTTAAAAGCATCTTTTTTTTTTATAAGACATTGTTTGAGGATGTATGCTCTCCCGCTACTCATTTAGGTGCTAACACACAAGCTGGTCAATGCAAATCAGTTATTCATAACTTTGCTTCTCGAGACATTATGCATGAAATATATCATGCTGGACTTTGAACATAAATTCAATCAACTTCCTCCATTCCACAAACTCACTCATGTATCCCAAATAATACAGACCCGTATCTTTTCATCGGTTTCTCTAACGTGGGTGTTCCCCGTTGTGTAATGATTCATTTTCATTTGTTTAGCCACACATACTTCTACATTCTCTTGACACTCGTGCCGTACGTCAAACAGAGGATCACTTCTTCTTCTTCACACTCCTCCACTTGATGCTCAGCAGAGACCAACAGCACAGTAAGAGCCTTACAATCACTATTTGAATCTACACATGTTCGATTAAAAACAAGATGAATTGTAATAAAAATATATATTTTGTATGTTCATTTTGAGGCTAGTAAACATTTTTACAGGGATCAGTTTAGTTTTTGAAGGCTGCAAGAGACATTTTACGAAGAAAGTTGAAAGTCTTACGCTTTCAAAATATCCATAAATAGTGTAGATGATCCAATGAAATGTATTCTTATATATAATTAAAAATACAAACAAACCAACCCATTTTTTTCTAAGGTTATATCTCAATTTGAGTTGATACATTTTAACTTTTAAAATGAATCCTTGAGTACAGTAAGGGTCAGAGGTGAGTTTGGTGTGACTCAGCGGCGGCGGGGGTCCATAGAGGGCCGCGCCCAGTGGCCTTCTATGGACCCTACACTCGCTTTCGAAAACGATGACGTGCCACCCGTAGTTGGTCTGCTAGAGCTGAGGTCCCGAAATATTCCGCGGGCCGTTCTTGAAGGTCCGGTGGATAAACACATGGAAATAACCGGCCAAAGTGGGGCGCGCGCTCTCCGTCCGTCGGTGGGCGCAACTGCCGCGCGCGTTGAGGAGCGGACAATGAACACGTGAAGAGAAAAACAACGCGTGGTGACGCTTAGGGAAATATGTCAAAGAGACGAGCACGCGTAATTTAATCCGGTTAATTTTCTAAATAAAACATTTTCCAGTAAAAAAGATCAAATGACAAAACAATTAAAAAATAATCATTCTTTCTGTGGTGTGCTGTTAACAGGTAGGCTTACTCCTTTTGTCTACCTGCACAGGGAAATAATAATTCTAAGGGACAAACAGATGTGTCATTGTTTTTTGCAGAACAGTGCACACATGCTGCTCAGAGAGAAAGAGAGTCAGATACAGAGAGAGAGAGAGAGAGAGAGAGAGAGAACATCCCCTTTATAAAGTAGTGGTGTCATCAGTCACACGTGACTCCATGCTATATGAAGCGCCTCCTCCTGAACAGATACAGTTGCACCAGACGGCCCGTGGTACCGGTCCATTGCCCGGTGGTTGGAGACCCCATGTGCTAGATTAAAATATGTCAACCGTTTACGTTTTTGTCAGACAAAACACAACCAACTCAGGTAAAATCACTGGACTGAATGAGCTTTTCAACTTGACATGCAACTATCGGCGTGATTCAAGTATCCCAGTGCCTTATGGGTATCTGTATCCCGTGACCTCTGCAGAGGAGAGTTTCAAATTGCCAGCAAAGGACAAGTTGGTGTGTTGGATTGAGAGCAACTGGAGCCCGAATATGAAGCGGGTTCTGTTCTACAATGAACTGAAGAAACACGTAACTACTTTGATGACAAAATGCATTTAATTCAGGAATAAGTGTCTGATTTCATGTATTTTTTTTCTTTATCTTAAATCCTCAACGTTTCAAATGTATACATTTTAATATGACTCGCTGGTCACACGTGTTTTCCTTCATATAGGTTCATATGGGTTCACACCACGGTGCTAATTTAACTATTGTTGGATACCTAGAACCTTCACACTAATGGAGCATTATTCCTGACTCTTTATTGAGTTTCAATTGAACTCTTCTTAATACTAAGCAGCAGCAGGGTTAGTTGTTCTCAACACTTGTTTGTTCAAATGTGTTATGTCCCTTATTAAAACTGTAAGGTGTGAATCTGGCTCTTAAAAAAATACTTGCAATGTTAGGTTGGCTAAAGGGAAGGGGTCATGTTTGTTTTAAAACAAATGTATTATAAAACTAGTGCATCACATACATATTTAAAAGCATCTTTTTTTTTTATAAGACATTGTTTGAGGATGTATGCTCTCCCACTACTCATAGGTGCTAACACACAAGCTGGTCAATGCAAATCAGTTATTCATAACTTTGCTTCTCGAGACATTATGCATGAAATATATCATGCTGGACTTTGAACATAAATTCAATCATCTTCCTCCCTTCCACAAACACACTCACGTATCGCAAATAATACAGACCCGTATCTTTTCATCGGTTTCTCTAATGTGGGTGTTCCCCGTTGTGTAATGATTCATTTTCATTTGTTTAACAATACATACGTCAACACCTTGTGCACCATCCTCTTGACACTCGTGCCGTAAGTCGAACAGAGGATCACTTCTTCTTCTTCACACTCCGCCACTTGATGCTCAGCAGAGACCAACAGCACAGTAAGAGGCTTACAATCACTATTTGAATCTACACATGTTCGATTAAAAACAAGATGAATTGTAATTAAAAAAAGGTATTTTTTATGTTTATTTTGAGGCTAGTAAACATTTTTACAGTCATCAGTTTAGTTTTTGACAGTTACAAGAGACATTTTATGAAGAAAGTTGAAAGTTCTTACGCCTTCAAAATATCCATAAATAGTGTAGATGATCCAATGAAATGTATTCATATATATATATTTAAAAATACAAACAAACCAACCCATTTTTTTAAGGTTATATCTCAATTAGAGTTGATGATACATTTTAACTTTTAAATTGAATACTTGAGTACAGTAAGGGTCAGAGGTGAGTTTGGTGTGACTCAGCGGCGGCGGGGGTCCATAGAGGGCCGCGCCCAGTGGCCTTCTATGGACCAGCCGCCGCTGCGGCAAACGATGACGTGCCACACGCAGTTGGTCTGCTAGATCTGAGGTCCGTCTTCCGGTGCGCGCAACTGCCGTGCACCTTGAGGAATGGACAATAGTGATGTGTCGTTCGTGAACGATTCGTCACAAGGACTCACTTTACATTTATACTTACGGTTTAGTGCAGTGTAATTGTTTGCAGTGATAATTAAATGCCAGTGTGATAATAAATTACTATTTCAAATCATCCAAACTGTCATGATACGTTATTTTAATGCATGCGTTTCTTTTAAATTAGTATCTGATGGTTTACATGCACTAACCTACATGAGGAAATGATACGTGTTTGCATTGGACGTATTTAGTCCAGGGAATTGGCCATGAAATGTTGAGCAACACCGCCCCCCGTTGAAATTAACGAATTACTTGAAAAAAGATTTATTCATTTTACTGAACGAGATTCAAAGAACCGAGTCAGTTAAATGATCGCTGATTGATCGCCTCCTCCTGAACAGATACACTTACAAACACTTATCCACTCTCAACATGTGGCCCGGCACCAAATGGCCCGGTGGTTGGAGACCCCTGTGCCAGATTAAAGTATGTCAAATGTTTATTGTTTTGTCAGATACATTTAGTGTATTTGGGGAGAAATACGGCACATCAAAAACACCTTTTGAACGTGTTCTTCACAAATGAGTCAACTCAACACATTGTCCACTCAATTGTTGTGTCTACAATTGTTGCATCTGTTCTGTCTCTGAAGGTGAGCCATGTCCAGTTCAGCCTCCCAGTGGACTCCTCAGCGTCCTTTTCTCCTCCTTTTGGCGTTTTGCTTCATCTCCCTTTTCATCTCGTACAAGGCCGACATCACCTACCCCGATTTAGGAAGAGTTGGTCAGTTTTGTCCTGCCTTCCTGTGTGCAGAGAGAGCACAGAGCCATGACTCAATCCCCAGCAACTCCACAGAGCTCCTCAATAAATCACATTCAGGTCCGACCGAGAAGCTCCAGGCGGCAGCAGTGGACGCTGAGCCCGACACAGTTGTGCTGGTCTGGATGTGGCCGTTTGGCTTCAAATTTGAACTCAACTGCGACATTTTCAATTTCACAAGATGCCACTTAACAGATGACAAGGAACTTTACCAGAAGGCCCACGGGGTGGTCTTCCACCACAGGGATATACATGGAAGTTTAGAAAACATGCCCAAAGGGCCACGCCCCGTTTTTCAGAAATGGGTTTGGTCAAATATGGAGTCGCCCACCAACTCAGGTAAAATCACTGGACTGAATGAGCTTTTCAACTTGACATGCAACTATCGGCGTGATTCAAGTATCCCAGTGCCTTATGGGTATCTGTATCCCGTGACCTCTGCAGAGGAGAGTTTCAAATTGCCAGCAAAGGACAAGTTGGTGTGTTGGATTGTGAGCAACTTTAGGTCGAATATGAAGAGAGTTCAGTACTACAATGAACTGAAGAAACACGTAACGATTCATGCTTATGGGAGAGCCTTTCAAAAACCTATTGGTAATGAAGACTTTGTAAAAATAATTTCTGCTTGTAAATTCTACCTCTCCTTTGAGAACTCCTTCCACAGAGATTACATCACAGAGAAGTTCTTTAATCCTTTGACTTGGGGAAGTGTTCCGGTAGTTATGGGTCTCGCCAAGACACGTGTATGAGATCACGTCTCCAGCTGGAGTCTTTCATTCAATGTCGATGACTTTC